TTGCTTATGGCAGTTTAATTTTAGTGCAGTTACACCATGGACTGGTGACAGAAGTTCTCTTTTTTGTTTATAATTTTCTAGCAAACTTGTAGTTCTTCCCTGCAGATCATTTAGAACTACATACTGATGTCATTCATCTTGGACAGTTACCTACTACTCAAATTATGTTCTTGTCCTAGAGTATTACCAATAAATTCAACGTGATTTTTTTCTCCTCATATTTTTTAGATTGCATAAATTTTAGCTAACCAATTCTTTTCAATCTCAAATATATTACAAAATGTCATTTCTGTTATAAAAGCTAATTGATAATGTGATTTGTTATGTTGCTGAGACATAATTCAGAAAGTTATTTTAAAGCCGTTGATACATGGAATAGCACTAACCATTTAATATTTCTTGTATGAATGGATACTGCATCAGGGAATGATGTGGTGCCATATAGATGAAATATTTTCTGAAGCTTTTATTCTTGTTGTTTGGGTTTGTGCCAATGCCTTTCTTGTATAGAGCTCATATACCCTCAGCTGTATATACTGTAATTTATACCTTGGTCATCAGTAGGAATTTTTCCTCCAAGTTGCTGAAAAATAAATAATATTTTAAAAATTAAAAGCTCACAGACAAATAATTCATGAGCATTCTCTAGAATACTTCAAGAAGTTGAAAAGTATTTTTTATTAAGATTATTTATGCAATAATTAGTACTAGGTCCCTTCTTTTTGAATGTTCTATTCGTATGTACTTAATGAATGGTTTAACAAGATCAAATCAGCATTTCATCATGACTATTTCCATTGCAGTTGTTACGGAGTAGTCTTTCTATACAATTATCATATGAAATCAACATTCCTCATTCAACTTTTTAACCTGGAACTGGAAATTTTGTTTCATTCATTTAATATTCAGTGTTGAAGAATGAAGACCTTCAGTATGGCACCTTGTATGACTATGCAACAACTTAGTTCTCCAAATCATTTGAAGCCAAGGAGACTCTTGGGAGTCCACTCACTACAAAATAAACATATTTCTCTTTGCTCCTCTCAGGTTGCACACTCAGAAATTGGCTTTCATTGCCATCACCTGTTGACTCACTCTTTGGGGGAAAACTTGCTATTGTCTGCCCAGTTAGTTTGCTATGAGAGTGTCTCACAATTTTTTTTTCAGTCTTGAACCTTGGCTCGAACAAATATGACATTTACTCAGACCTTTGCACAGTCTGTTTGAAACCTGACAAGGTTGTCATTCCATGAGCACAGAAGATATCCGAGAGCCTCTGTTTCTCTCTCTCTCTCTTTTTTTTTTTTTCACTCCCACTTTCTCCCCTAATTTGAGACTCCACCCAAGGTGTGGCTGCCTTGTAATTCTCAGCTGATGATCAAATGACTGAACAATAAATGAAAATATTTCAATTTGTTCTGGTGAATACACTCTAAATTATCTGTCATGTGCCATTTTTTAGAACTTGGCTGGCTGACTGTACAATTCTTAAGTGAAAACTGTTACATCTCTGCAAAAACTTCAAAATTGCATTAAATATTCTTGTGTGGGATCACAGAAGTAAATTTGACTTATTTAGCTTCATATACTCTGGGACTCTTTAGACATCTTACAATAAATTTAACTCAAAGTGGGTTCTTTTTATGTTTACTAATTAAAACTCATTTTGTCCTCACAAAGGACTCCTTCTGCTTAAATTCTCAATCACAATGTGAAGAATATATATCTAAAAGCATTATATATATATAATATAAATATATACAAAATATATAATAATATTTAAATATATAAATAATGTGTATATATTATGCTTTTAGATGCATACTCAGATCAGGATATGAAACAGATTGTTTTACAGTGTTGTTTCTCAACAGGTTTTTGTTTGTTTGTTTTGTTTTTTTTTTGCTTAGCTTCATTCACATTTACAGTCTTTAATAGATCAGCATTCTGAACTCTAAAATTTTATCAGCTGGACTGCTGAGTCCTTCCTTTATATACGATGCAGTTTCTTAGCCTTCTTTGTTAAATTGCTTTGTAAGTTTACAAAGAAATACAAAATACATCAATTTGCCTATGCTCTTTTTCTTTCAATATCATTCCAAACTCTTCTATACATCTTTTCCTGAAGTGACTTATTACTTCTTACCATCAGGAAATTTACTTATGTCATGGCACACTGCTAGAAACATATAATGGAAGGTAAGATATCATTTCCAGTACTAATTCCTGAAGCAATGAACTAGGTATCTCCTACTGTCACTGCATGAATATCCACTGTTACCACCTAAAATACAGTTTATCATCTCACATCCTTAGTCTTACTACCATTCATGATTTTACTGACTGGTATTTAGCAAAGCAGTACAGAAAATATTCTCCTAATAACCATGGCAATTTGGTTATGAATACACTCCATGGTCCTAAGTTAATTATTATTTTAATACCTCAGAAATATCAATCAGATATTATGTATAAATGCATGCCACCCACTTTTACAATGCTTAATCAGCATAGATTGCAGATTTGTAGGGATTCCACCAGTTTCTCTGATTAGTATTTCCAATATCTTACTCCCAACAAGTAAAGCTTACAGGTCTGAAGTTTCCTGGATAAGGCCATCACTCTTTATCAGTGCTTTCTGATAAAGTAATGCTGTCAGACTGTAAAGAAATTTTTGGTCATACTTATTCATCTTTCTGACAGAGATTGTTGCAATGTAGTTAGGAATAAAGTATCAAATATAAACGAGAATATTTTTTGGAGTAAAACACTTTAATGTATTGTTATTTCCTTCAGTTTCATAAATAAAGTCACAGTAGTAAACTATCAAATACGCCCATTGTACTTAGATATCAATGATCCTTCGAACCTTTGCAGTCTTACAGTTTTTATCCTGGATTACTTTCAAAGAACATCACCGTCATTTCTAAAGCATTGAAAATTTTCTGGACTTCAATATTTATGAAATGCAATATTTCAAGAATGTGGAAATTAATACAAGTTCATTAAAACTATCATGTAGCAAGGCAGAATAGCTTCATGATTCCTACTGAATGTAGTGCTTTTTAAAAAGCCTTTCTTATTACAGAAAAACAGTAAAAGAAAGACAGTATTACAGGTCAAAAATGCCATTAGCAATAGGAAAACACAATTTCATAACAAAAAATTTATTGGAAAAAGATGTGGAAAAAGTAAACTGAAACATTAACAGTTTAGTGTACATTTGCTATACTGAACAACAGATGCAACCATTTGCTTCTTCAACTTCAAAAACACTTGAAATTCCCAAATGCCGTGCATGGGATGTTAAACAGGCAGCTAAGCAATGGTGACGCAATGAAAAGGTACCTGTCGAGATTTAAAATAAATAAACAAATAAATAAATAGTCCTAGTTTCAGCTGGGATAGAATTAATTTTCTTCATAGAGGCTGGTATGTGCCATGGTTTGGATTTAGGATGAGAATAATGCTGATATCGTACTGATGTTTTAGTTGTTGCAGAGCAGTGCTTACACTAAGCCAAGGGCTTTTCAGCTTCTCCCACTGCCCTGCTAGTGAGGAGGCTGGGGGTGCACAAGGAACAGAGAGAGGACAGAGCCAGAACAGCTGACCCCAAATGGCCAAAGGGATATCCCGTATCTTGTGGTGTCATTGTCGTGGTTCCGCTCGAGTGGGCAGCCGAGCTCCACCACAGCCGCTCTCTCACTCCCCCTCCTCAAAGAGGAATGGGGAGAAAATATGTGAAAGGGGCTCAAGGACTGAGATAAGGACGAGAAAATCACGCAATAATTAGTGTAATGGGCAAACCAGACTCAGCATAAGAAGACAGTAAGATTTATTGCTCATTACTAACAAGCTAGAGAAGTGAGAAACAAAGGAAAGAAACCAAAAGCACCTCCCCCCCCCATCCACCCTCTTCCACCTCCTCCCCCCGAGCGGCGCAGGGGAACGGGGGAATGGGGGTTATGGTCAGTCTACAGCACTTCTTCTCTGCCGCTCCTTCTCGGTCACTCTTGTCCCCTGTGCTGTGGGGTCCCTCCCACAGGGATGCAGTCCTTGATGAACTGATCTGGCGTGGGCTTCCCACAGGCAGCAGCTCTTCCAGAACTGCTCCAGATATGGGTCCGTACCACGGGGTCCATCCCTCAGGAGAAAACTGCTCCAACCTGGCTCCCCTACGGGCAGCAGCTCCTGCCAGGTCACCTGCTCCTGCGTGGGCTCCTCTCCACGGGCTACAGGTCCGGCCCAGAATCTGCTCCGGCAGGGGTCTTCCACAGGCGGCAGCCTCCATCAGGTGCAGGGCCACCTGCTCCACCGTGGTCTCCTCCACGGGCTGCAGCGTGGAACCCTGCTCCACCGTGGTACTCCATGGGCTGCAGGGGGACATCCTGCTTCACCATGGTCCTCACCACAGGCCGCAGGGGACTTCTGCTCCGGCGCCTGGAGCACCTCTCCCCCTCCTTCTACACTGACCTTGGCACCTGCAAGGCTGTTTCTCACTCCCTTGACTCTCCCGGCTGCTGTGTGGCGCAGCGTTTTTTTCCCTGTCTTAAATATGCTCTCACAGAGGCGCAAAACAACATCGCTTATTGGCTCAGATCTGGAAAACAACTGGGGCCCTTCCCAAACATGGGGCGGCTTCTAGATCTTTCTCACAGAAACCACCCCTATGACCCCCTGCTACCAAAACCTTGCCACGTAAACCCACTACAGTCATGTGGGACAATAAAACTGGAAAGGCTGTCTGGAGGGGCTGCTGTTTCTTGGGAACTGTGAGAGATTTGGTTGGCTGATTGTGCAAAACTGCATGGTGTATTGCTTTTGTTGTTTGTTTTTTGTTCCTTTTCTTATTTTTTTTCCTTTTTATTAAACTGTCCTTATCTCCACCCATGAATTTCTATACTGTTCTTTGCAATTTTCTCTTCCATCTCACTGGACGGTCTGGAGTGAGTGAACAGCTGTGTGGCGTTTAGCTGCCTGCCCACTTGAGCACAATTCTCTTTTTTTTTTTTTCCTCATTTTTTTTTTTTAGCTTGTATTGTTACCAAATGCCCAGACATATGCCTCTCAAAGTATTTGTCCCATGCTTAAATAAAGAATGAAGTTACATATAGAGTGAATAACAAGGATTAGGGAACACAGTTGACAGAGAAGCTGTGATTCATATAAGGTTATCTAATTAAATTGTTAGAACAATGAAGAAGGAAGTACAAAGTTGTATTATATTGTGTACATAAAAGAAGCATCTCACAAGTCATGAGTTTGTAATTAATGTCTATATAGCCCTGTGACTCTTATCAGGTTTTAATTAACTGTAGCACAGCAGGAATGCTAAGAACAGTATATTTTCAGTGCTATTTTCATACTCAACCAGGAACATAAAAAATCATAGGAAACAGGCATCACCATCTTACTGGAAAAACTAAAATGTTTTTAGTTGCAATAATGATCATAGCTTTGTATTTTCTATACATACTACATAACTTTACATATTTTTTTTTCCTGTTATCATTACAAATAAAGTTTTAAAGTATGTATTTTAAAAACATACTGCTGATTAGCAGAACATACTACAAAATCTATGCATATAAAATGCTTATCTGGGATTTTGGGATAATTTAATATATCTTCATAAAAGGTACTTTAATGTTATTCAGAAAGCCTATGGGAAAATAAAGAAAGCAAAACTTTAATATTGCCCTATTTTCTACTTAAACTACAACTGCTGCTATACACAAAGTTAAAAATCAATTAACTCAGAATAAGGTGACAGTTAATTCTTCAGCTGATACATCTTCCATTTAAAAACAAAATACATCAAGGAAAAGTATTCCCAAATGGAAGCACTGACAGTAACATTCCAATGAAATTGGCATCAACACCCCAAAACACTAGCCTGGTTTCCTTTAAGGTGTTGGTGCTAGTACTCACCAAGAATTTTTTTTTCAAATTTTCAGTGGAATCTGAAGAAAATAGAAATATTAGTAATTCTTTAGAGGGATTCGCTGAGTTCGGAAAAGCTTTGAATACCAACTGACATCTCTAAAATTAGTGTTTTTCGATAATTTCATGACACTTATTCTAATATCAACCTGTTTATATCCAAAACCAAAATCAGTCAATCAGCATAACAGATGTTTTCTTAAGCTTACCTCTCCTTAGGCTATATAGAAGAGTATCTAGCACAATAATGTGAGATATGCCATATGCACGGTCTAGTGGTAATTCATAGTATGGAAAGTCTGACACAAATTACAGAATAATTATGTTGGGCAAACCATATAACACACAATTAAAAAATGATGGATGAATGGCAGTTGAGGAAGTGTGAAAGTTCTGTTCTGTTTTGTCTGTAGGAGAACTGTGAGAGTCTTCATCCACTAAAAAAAAAATAAATTTTAAATATTGTTATTTCTGAATACGACTGAATATAAGAATGAAGTGCAGTAACTTAACCACTTCTATTTGTTTAATACTTATGGTACTTTTCCATTCCTCTCTTTAGAGGAATGTACTCAGAAATCCTCCCCTCTCCAACAAGATGCCTAGTATAATTCTTCTTGTAGCGTGCCCTTTACAATGAAGACTGTCTAATGACTGCAGGCTCAACTTTTTGCATTCTATAATCTATACCCATAAAACTAATCTACCATGCACTGTGAAGCAAAATTATGCTGTTCATGTCATGTTCATGATGTAACTTTTGAGTCACACCATTTTTTTCATTTTATAACTGTTCAGTGGAGCATAAATTTTAGCTTTTGTTCAACTATGACAAAGTCTCCCCAAATTTTTTATTTATTTATTTATTAATTGTTTATTTAATACATGTGAAATACAGCTACTGCAATTGTAATATTAAATCAGTCATCTTTCCACTTTCAGTTCTTGTAAAAATATTCTCAAAACTGTCATAGCTCATTTTAAAGATTTTATCTATATCTGTAAACTGCCTATAAGTCTTCAGGTCTACCAGGTTCTAATTGTGTTAATGTGCAATGCAAAGCTTTTGTACAAAGCTTTTTAGTTCTTACTTTGAGCTGAATCCTTTTCCCTGTGAATCTTCCTTTTTTGAAGAGTATGGATGGTCTGACCAGTTGTTCTACCAATGTGCAACAAATCTGGAAAGAAGTATGTTAGTTCCTGTCAGTTTTTACTGAAAGTTTTGAAAAACAAGAAAGTATCAAACATATATGGCCTGATGTCTTTACATTTAAAAAACAATAACAACAAACAAAAAGGATACTATTAGAGATTTAGTTCTGTATAACTGAAGAGTTAGCTTCACTTTTTGTTTTCCTCACAGTTCATGCAACTATAGATTGTCAAGCCTTAGGTCACTGCTTCTCACCACAGAAATCCTATAGAAATCCTATCTTACCATATGACCATAAATAAATCCTCTACTAAAATTGATTTAAAGAGATTATTGTTCTACTTGAAAGGTTAACCTGTCAACAACACAGGGTGTCCTGCATGCTGTTTACCTGTTCTGGAAACACCAGGTAAAATTTGCCAAGGAGCAAAGACAGCGGAGAAAGGGGAGAAAAATAGATACACACACCCCATGAGTAATATAAATACAAACATTTGAAATAATGCATCTGTGGATAAAGAAGAATACAAATACTTACTCTCAAACAAAATTTCTAGCCTTTCTGCATTCTCTTGCAGGGTAGTGTACCACTGGTTGGCTATTATAGAACGAACACCAGTAAGGCTAAGAAGCATTACTGTTTCTGTTGGTCTCTCTATAGCAAACTGTAAAGAACTAAAAAAATAAAAAGTATGAGATCAATAAAATAAAAATGTAATTGAAATTCTGCATACTAATATATTAAAAATATAAATATATAACACTTTTTAACAGGAGAAGAAAGAGAATTTTATACGAATCTCAGCAAACTAAGAAAAATCCCAGAATCCATTTCTCTTGTATGTTAAGCATAAAATGCTTTCAAATATTTTGTACCATATCTTATGTTTAAAACAAGGAATTATAATAACTTTTCTATACCTCTTTTCATGATGCAATTTTATGTGGATTGCTCCCTGTCATTCTACTGCTTTGGGCATCAAATGAAATACGAATGGAAGAACATCACATTAACTTTTATAAAACAATGCAGAATACCCTTTATAAGAGATTCAAAATGCTGTGAAATGGATTAAAAGACATGTTTAGTTCAGCTTCTATTCTTAAAGGGAAAAAGAAAATATTGCAGGAACTGAAAGCTTGCTCATGTCATAAGCATGGCAGTAATATGGAGACTTAAAAAGCAATTCAGTTATTCTAAAATGACATCTCTAAAGAGGAATATTTAAATAAGTATCTTTGGCATTATTGTTTTAGTGCTTGGAGGGGAGTGATAGTCTGTAGGGCTGGAACTGAAGTAAATTAAAGGCTGAATCTTCTTTTTGATCTCTGCCTTTTATGGTAACTAAATCAGAAGATGATAACTAAAAATTTTTGTAATCTTTTTGGAAGATGCTGTCTGATTATCTATGGAGTTATGTGATTCAGTTTTAACTGAACATTATTCTAAACTTTCTGGAAACTGCTAGAATTAAACACATAAGTTCCACTGATAAATTTACCAATCTATTAAAATAAGACTTCAGAAGTACAGAGCTAGAAAAAATAGCTTAAGAAACTGTGCTTTGTTTTGTTTTGTTTAATGGGAAAAAAGGATATTAAAACCAGGAGAGTTTTCAAACACTCAGAGATCTGTCTGTGTATAACATACCTTACACACAATTCATTTTAACTTACACATCACTGGATGGATTAAACAGTATTTTAAAGGTTTTTTTTTTTTTTTTTTTTTTTTTTTTCTTTTCATGAAGTGAATAATCATCAAAGTCAAGAGATATTTATGCAGCCCTAACAGGATCGGATATAGGATTTAATTGTCTACATTACAATGGCAGTCCCAATAAAGACATGAATAAAAATACATTTTTTCATGTTCTTTTTTTGGGAGTACAAATGGGTTACCTGAAATTTAGCATGGACTAAATAACTAATGAATAAAATCAGGACTCTAAAACTATCCTTGCTTTTAATACATTATAAGTTATTTGTTGAGCGCCATCCATTAAAATTCATAATGTACATAAAACAAAAGTATGCGAGCCCTGTCACTTGTCAATTTAAAGGCAAGGAAAATACTGAAAATGCCTTCAAGTCTATGAAAGCCAGATGTGTAATATGAAAGATTGTGAAGAGGTCACTTAGCATGCCAAAATAATTTATTACATAAAACAGTCTGATTGTTAAACTATACAGCATAGGAAAACTTCAGAGGGACTCTTAATTATCTGTTAAAAAGAAGTTTTATATATTTAACTAGAACATCTTGAGAATCTTGAGCTGGGAGGTATGGGTAACATAACCTTTTTGTGACATTGTGTTGATTATTGCCCTGCTGCAGAGCATTCATTCTCTTTAGTCCTACGTAAAGAATGAAGCTACAAGAGGCTAACTTCCCCCTTCAATGTAGATATGAGCCCTTCTGTTTCCAGAAGTAGATAAGAATATTTATAACTCAAAATTTTAACTTTGCTTTGAAATAAAAATAAATCTGCATTACTGTGAATTTTACCGAAATAAAGTTAATCTTACCTTTTGTAGATATCAGAATTGGTTATTCTTTGATAACTTTGTTTTGATTGTACCAGATCTAAAAGTATCATCAAATGGCACTCTGGCAAAAAAAAAAACAAACCACTAATAATAACGTCCATCGTAATAACTGTATATAAAACTGGCTTTTCTAAGTCAATGACGTACTAAGCTCAGTGTAAACAACTCATATAAAATTTATATTTCAGCCAAAAGAGTGTCATTAAGTAAAAGAACACCAAGAAAGTCATTCTAACATTATTTAATGTAAATTTGATACACTTTTCCATAATGTTTGATGGGCTTTTGTCCTGCATCACCTTAGTATAACTAACAACAAGGTCCATGTAACCATCTTATTACAGATAATGATTTATATGACTCAAATCAGTAGTTGCAAAATCTTGTAAAGTGGAGGTATGGAAATGTTATCTGACCATGTTAGAACCAAGTTACAGTTAAAACATTCTTTTTAAGCTATTTTCCTTAAAGGCTCCCAATGAAATAACTGAGTACTCTTAGATTAAAAAGCTTTCCCTAAAGATTTTTGCTAAAAAGTTTTTCCCTAAAGATTTTTTGCTTGGTTTGCTTGGTTTGCTGCAGCGTAAACCTTTACTTAATTGTCAGTATTTCACACAGATATCTGAGAAGAAAATTACCTTTTTGTTTGGAAAGCCTTTGATGTACTTGAGAACTACTATCAAGCTTCTCTTCAATATTTTAACCTTTTCTCCTAAAGTATATTTATATGCATATATATGTATAAAAACACATATATATTTGTACAACTATGCACACATATCTGCACTATAGTTTTCTGACCACACTTGATCTCTACCAATAATTTATTCTAGTTTGTCAGTATTCTCCTCCAGACCTTTACAAAAGTGGAGCGTGAGATTAGTTAATTTATCTTGCCAATGACACTCCTGTATAGTTACCCCTATAACAGAACCTAGTCTTGTTTGATCCCTAGCAAGATGATGTTGTTTAATTTGTGATTTATCTCCTGATTGTAATCTGTAGTATCTCCCCTCAGGCAGCCATTACCTAACTTGCTAATGTTTAACTGATTATTTCTACTTAAGCACAACTCCCTCTAGCCTTCCCTGAATTACATTCTGCTATTTATGCCCATAAAGCAAGGTTAATTTGCATTCTAATCTTGCTGCTGAACCACCTCTTTCTCAGGCTGGTCTCATATGCAATTTCAGCAAAGACATCTTCTATTTCATCACTCAAATGACCAACAAGAACATTTAATAATACTGGGTCCAAGTTAGGGCCCTCTTGAACCTCAGACACACGTCATACTTAATAATGAAAGTATTTCTTACATGAAGATCAGGATTACAATAGATTTAAATTCAGTCTGCAAGACAACAGTAATTTTATCAGCTAACAAGTTGTGTAGGTGATCAGAAAATAGAACAATTCTTTGAGGGCAACATGAATACATTTAAAGTTGGTTTATTCCCCATTAAAGGAAAATAAGATGCTATGGAGAATTCATCTAGACATATTTTAAGTGCAAGTCCCAGGGTCAGGATTATCGAAGTGTTTACGAACTTCTCCAGAATTTCTAGTCCTATAAATATCGGCCTACATGCATCTGAAATCTCATTTTTAAAAGTGACCAATATATATAGGAAGATATATCTTCTTGATTTCCAGCAATATTTTCACATACACCTTTAAATCACTTTGAAAATCAAAGCTTTTTGAATCAGCTTCCTGGTACTTTTAGAACTTCACGATCTGATATGGATTGCAGTTCTTAATTTTATATCTCGCCACAATATAGAAAGAAGCTAACATATTCATACACCCTAATAACTTCAGCAAAACTCCAAAGCTGAATATCTTCTAGATGTACAAGGGTAATAATAAGAGAAAGAAAGACTGAATCTCAAATAATAGTTCTGAATTTACGTCTTATGTTATATCACCAAAAAGACTAATAGCTGTGAAGAAGCAGAGAAAAAATTACCTTCTCAGAGTGTACAAATGCTCCATTAGAGAAGAGAAATAATTCAGTATTAACCCAGTTTCTGCAGATAATTCTGCTTTGCCTGAGTGAAGACTGAGTAATTCTGAAACTGTACTACAAAGGTTGTTCTTAACAATAAAGAACACTTGTTTACCAAGTACTGCATTCCACAGAAAGGCACAGGACTTACTGGAAAAAAAACATCAGATGATGATTCAATGTTTGGAACTTAATAAATGTGTTCTGATTTAAAATTCCAGCATTTGGAAGTGGAGGAGGAATAAACCCGTTTGTGAGGAATAACAAGAGATATGTGCAACAGAATAAAATATACTTAGTGCAGAGTTTTTCCAGTCAAAACCCTGGATCTTGAAAAAAGGTTTTGATTACTTACGTCAATACATTGATAATACAGTAAGAAGTAAACACCATTTTGTGATCATTATGAAAAAAAGGTAGTGTAAATTAAAAAGTATTTTTCAGTTTGGTTATCTCACTTGGGATGTTCATAGCAACCAGTCTGTTGAGTAAAATATGAGACAAGAATCTCTCCATTCCATAGAACAGAAATGCACTGCAGTTTGTCAGCAGCTGCTCCCATTCAGCTTGACTGCAAAGAAGGGAAATTTTTTTTGTTACTGTTTAACAGGAACACTTTTAAGAAACTATCCACATCAAACACTTCAGTGTTGGTCCAGAAATATTTACTAGAAAAAACAGTGTGCAAAGCAAGGTGACAAACAAGAATTCTACAGAAAGTGTAATAAAATGTATGGAACGTTAATAATTACTATTTTAATACGGATGTATATTTAATTTAGTAACACCTTGTAAACAAAAGGGCATAGCATATTTTAAACAAATACCAGACTCTAACAAAAAAAATAAAAATCATTAGTGTACATGTATGTATGCATTGTACCGCTTTGAAATTCAAAGGGAGTTTTCAAGAAGGACTTGGGGGTTCTGACGGATAAAAAGCTCAACATGAACCAGCAGTGAGCACTTGCAGCCCAGAAGTCCAACTGCATCCTGGGCTGCATCAATAGAGTGGTCATCAGGCAAGGGAGGGGATTGTCCACCTCTGCTCTGCCCTTGTGAGTCCCCACCTGGAGTCCTGCATCCAGGTGTGGGGCCCCCAGCACCAGAAGGATGTGGGGCTGTTAGAGTGGGTCCAGAGGAGGGCCACAAAGATGCTCAGAGGGCTGGAGCACCTCTCCTATGAAGAAAGGCTGAGAGAGTTGGGACTCTTCATCCTGAAGAAAAGAAGGCTCCGGGAAGACCTTTTTTGCATTGCAGCTTTTCAAAACTTAAAAGGGGCTTGTAAAAAACGATGGAGAGCAACTTTGTGCTTGGGTAGGTAATGATAGAACAAAGGGGAATGGTTTTAAACTAAAAGAAGGGAGCTTTAGATTAAACGTTGGGAGGAAATTCTTCACTCAGAGGGTGGTGAGGCACTGGCACAGCCTGGCCAGAGAAGCTGTGGATGCAACATCTCTGGAAGTGTTCAAAGCCAGGCTGAATGGGTCCCTGGGCAACCAGATCTACCATGTGGCTTCCCTGCCCATGGCAGTGGGGTTGGGACCAGATGATCTTTAAGGTCCCTTCAACCCAAGCTGTTCTGTGATTCTATGATATATGCACCCAGCAGGATATAAATAAATTAGGTTTTGAAAAGAGGTTCAAGTTAATCAGCCTAGCTAGCAGCAAAAACTATGCTGTCTGATAACTGCTAACAATCTTTGCAATTGTTATGAAGAAACACCAGAGTACCTGTACAGTGATTTTACCTAAGTAGAGAAGATTTTAAAGGACGGATTAGACTAGCAGTTATAAAGCAAGGTCCACAGTTCACCATGTTGCCTCACTTACAGGACTTGAATGGCTTGACACCTCAAGATCCCTTTTACGTCTCTACTTCTACAATCTTAAAATTCAAGTACTTCTATAAAGAACGAACTGAACAAACTTTATAAAAATAATACGAACTTCATCAACTTTCAGATGTTTGAAATTGTAAACTGAAAGATGTACCTTTACTACATTGTGGCTGAAATGTGTGCTACAATCTTGCAGTTAACTCATTATGCATGGAGATAATATAGCTTTTAATACTTGGTTTTAAAAAACAGTTATGAGCAAAGCCAGAAATCACACTTATATTCCCATATGCTCATAATAATAATTGAAGACTGCAACAGCAGCCTTTTTTTTTTTCAAGATTGGATCATTTAAATATACAGCAATTTCTGGCACCGTATTTTAGATCCTACATTTGAAACAAAGACAATGGTTACTCTGTGTTTAATAGTGCAGCGAAATGTAACCCTATTTTATGACTGAAGCCTCTGGGAATTATCACTGTTTTAAAAAAAGAAACATGGATAAAACATGAAAGCATATAGAATACTACAAACCTTGGAACATATACGTTGCCAATAACTCCTTCCCACTGTAGTGTAAACAGGTCATGGTACTTTTCTAAGATTTCCTTCATTTTTTGGGAGGGACTTAAAGCTTCTGTAACAATAGAATGTCATAATTGTAAGGTTAAGATGCTACAAAGTATGTTGGGCAATCTTATTTTCAAACATTTAAAAATGACAATATATATATTTAGGAATTTTTTTAGCCCGTCATTAGATCTTAAGGTTTTTAAAAACTAAGTCCAGATTTTAAAAATGCGTCAATTGCAATGTTGAAAACACCAGCACTGTTCGTGCAGTTCCATTTCAGAGACTCAGAAAGAATTTAGATGGACAGAGAAAATAACTGAGTTTCTATAGCCCTGATTTTAGAAGGCAAGATTCCAAACCCACCTCTGCTCTCCAAGGACATTGAATATTTAATGACAATTTACCTTGTCTGACTATATTTTCATAATACTGTAAAATGCAGATACACTCTTACAGCCAGATATTGAGTACGTAGTAAACCGTTTATTTTTATCTGCTGTGAAGGAGAAACTGCAAACATATGGAAGCATATTCTATCAGTATGTTCAGTACTGTTCAGTAGCTTCTTTTGTTTTGATTTTTTGTTTATTAACTATCTCAATTAAAAACCTCCATTAAATCAATTTTTGGCATTTGATATATAATGTGTTTGTTAACAAATGTGAATCAATTAAACTATTACACATACTGGGAGAAAAAAAATTAAGTAAAATTGTGTTACTAAAGTATTTGTGTCAGACTGAATTGATATAGTAAATGCCTACTGCCTTGGTAAGTAGACTCCAAAAGAAAACAGCAACCCTTTCAAATATCCTTACACAAGTGCCTGTAACTATCATAATACCTTCCACCTTTCAAAGGACTATAACACAACATGCAAAAGCTTTGTGTGTTACACATGCTTTATATGTAGGCATTAGCTTGAGAATCGGTATATACGTTTATATATAAGTTCCATTGTTCCTGTTCTGGTCCATTCCCATTCAGTACTGTTTGTTCCTAGTCATTCATGTATTTCATGCAAATTTCTAGTATAATAAAGAAGATTATACAATGCATCATTTCAAGTTAACCTATATCCTTCCCTGCACTACTGATGTTGTATCTTAACGGCATATATCTGTAAAACTAAAAATGCAGTAACAAGTTCTTGAAAGAAAGCATGTATTTTTAATTGGTTTATATAGAAAGGAAGATTACTCAAGTAACTATTTTCTTGAAGGTAAGTAGGTCATTATTTAGTGATATGAAAAAAAAATAAGACTAATTTCTTTCTGGAACTTGAAACAGGTTATATTTTTTCATTGAGGCACCATTTGACAGGTGATAAGCAGTACTTTTCTGACAAAAATCTAAGCTTTTTTTGTCAACACCTCAATGGTATGACTTCATTTTCTGTTAAAAAAGAAAAAAAAAATTAAATTGCATGGCTAGGTTGTGGAGGTAATATTATTTAATAGATATTACCTGGCTCTCTTCCTTCATTATAGGGGTCCACAATATCTGATAGGCAGTGAAGTGTAAACAATGCAATATAAACCAGAAAAAAAAAGTTTATCTGAACTGATTCACATACGTAATCATTTGGGAAAGGATACATTTAAGATTACGAGTATCAACAGGCATGCAATTAGAGGGTAAAACACGATGAACTGGTGCCTATAATTAAAAGAATGTATACAGTATTACGTGCAGAAGCCTTAATCAAACATTATTATTGTATCTGCAGTGTTAAACAACTAACAAAAAGATGTCCTGAAGTTTTGAAAGTAGGCTTAAAAGCAGCACAATACCCAAGTGTCAATGTAAATCAAAAGCATAAGCTATCCTGCATTATACAGAATGCATATATGTACATATTGTATATATTTACACATGTGAACATATATAGTTATATATGCATATAAAATATAAAACAGCATATAAACTATACCATATTGCTGGGGGAGGTAGTTTAGTATTTTGAGACAGCTCCCTTTGTGAGTTGTGTATGTCTCGATTATGCAGAGGATATGCTTTTTCAAAGAAACAACTCTATAAAATCAACAAGAGCAAGATTCTTATTATGTAATACTTATTTCCACTTCAGACTTCTAGAGTATATAAAGAGCTTCTATGCAAGCAACTTGTATTCCTTTAACAATATTTTTACACAACAAGAAGAGCTACCCATATTTATTTTATTTAAAAAAAATGGAAAGTTCACCATTTTGACATTCTTTTTCTGTTCGGCTTTTGGTTTTGGTTCTTTAGACCTTTGAACATCTTTAATTTCACTCTCTGTGGAATTGAAAAGAAGAGACTTTTTTTTTAAGACATGAGCAGTTTCAGAAAATACAGCTTTCTTAAAGGATTGTTTATATTCATTAGGATGTAATAATAACAACAGATTAGAAAAATACATCTTAATTTCACATTGCAGCAAGGCAAGGACATTCCCCAAACCCTCTTGCCTAAAAATAGTAGCTTCAAAGTGTAAAACAACCAACACACACAATCTCTTAGATGTGCAAATGCTTCACTACGTTACGCGTTCAGGAGAAAAGTGTTGAATAGTGACTACTGGAGCACTTTTTAAGCCTATTGCTATATCTATTCAACATTGATGTTACTGGAATAACTGAAGCTTCTGTGAAATACACAGAAATCAAAAGAATAAAGGAAGTTTTATATTTGAATCTGATTTTTTACTTCAAGAGGCTTCAAAAAAGCAATGGGAACTGTGTTATATTTCTCACTGCACAAATGACTATAACCCAAAGTATAAGTCTCAGATAGTTATCGCTGGAATGCACTGCAAATTAGGGGAAGTTTGTGATATGCATTTGAGTGCATTTGGCCATTGATTCTCTTTTTATTCAGTGGCTACTTTCATAATAGCATAGGTAGCTTTTCAATTATGCTTCCTCTCATTAATTAACTTCTAAAATTATGCAACCATAAGAATTTTCACTTTAAAAGGTGGAAAAACAAATTAAAAAAAAAAAAAAAGTTCTGAAAGTCTTATTTATAACAGATATTTAAGAGTATATGAACGTGTAGACTAAAAATATTCTCATCTCAGTTTGTTTACAGTTCTTTCCATGCAGAAATGGCCAAACAGATGACAGTTACACTAAAGTTGCTAAATATTGTAGATAAGAATGCAATACAAGAACCTGTATGGAACAGAAGACTGTCATTTTTCACAGTGAGACTTTTCTAAATTTAACCTATTTATTGCCTGAGGCCCACTAACTTTTAAGTGAGTTAAAATGTGTTATCTATATCTGAGTAAAATGTGGCTTCAAATTTTTATAGGTTCAGTAATAGGAGGTATCTTTGATCTATAAGAAAAAAAGCTTAGCAGTTCTATAAGTAAAACTGCTTAGCAGTTTTTCTCAGCAGAAAAATGCTATGTGCCTGCATTTCTTACTGATTTTTAGAATAAATTTAAAAAACAAACAAACAAGCAAACAAACAAAACAACAACAAAAAAAAGAAGATGCCATAGGGACAAGGTTATAAAACCATTTCAAAATCTACCCAACCATCTCACTTAACAAACTCATTTAATTGAAGAGTTTATACAGTGTACAAGTGCCTGTGGTAGTGATAAAAGTATCTACAGCCTGTGGAGTCTGACTTTGCTCATGCGTAGAACAAGAATCACTTAACTGACCTGAGGACTTAACGTAATCTTAGCTATACATAGAGGAAGTAGCTCAATATATCAATATTCTAAGCAGTCTTACATTAATGTCAAAAGAAAACTAACAGAATTCTAAATTCTTATTTGATTGTTTTCAATGTAGATGAAAATAGTCATAAAGTTTGATGAAAAATCAAAAAAAAAGGTATACATGAAAACAGTTGTAGTTTGAGACCATATGTGTTCAGTTGAAACAAGTCATTTTAGAATCTACTTTTTAGCATATTCTTTAATATCTAGAGGTTATTTTGGATTAGCTAACATTTCAACTATAATCAGCCTGTATATTTCTAAATAAGTCTATTATACTAGCTATCCCATCTAAAATAATGGAAACATTATATGACAGGCTATGAAACAATGCTATGACATTATATGACAGGCTATGAAGCAGGCTATGACAGGATATCAAACAATATATGACAGGCTTCCAGTAAATTACATGACACCATGCATATTTACATTTTAACTATCTTCCTTCCTATATCAACATACAAACACAAAAAATGTTTATCTAATAGTACCTGATTCATCCACTTGCAGTCGATTGTAGAGAATCTGGAGAGAAAAATCTCTGGATACAGAACATATTCCTTCCTCCTGAAAGACACTCAGAGTTTCCAAAGGCAATTCCATAAATGACTTATCTGCTAGTAATACCACACACAATCCTAACTCCATAGGTGTTCCTGAATAAATGTGACAAACCACAATTAGGATTTTATATTTCTCAGTATGTATTTAAATAAATGAAGTTAGTTATAAAAACTAGGTTTCCTCTGTTGTCTGACAATTGAACTTCATTTTACTGTGAAAAGCATTATTCAAAAATATGTTTTAATACAGTTAATTCCTAAGATGTTGTTAGACTTCTAAGCATATACATTTGAGAGTACTAATTAATCAGAGGGAAAAATATTCCTGTATTAATAATCAAAACAATCCAGAACAAAATCTGGGCAAATGCTATGCATTTTAAGAAAATCATTTTGGAAATGAAAACTTGTACTAAAAATGTTTGGCTAAAGAGTACAGACTCGTAAAAGAGCACATTTCCAATAATAACCGCGTATTTCTGGAGGAAACTTTTTGTTTCTGTTATTTGGGAAAAACAAAATGTATCATTTTATCAACATTTTCCTGTTTTGTTACAGAGAAGTAACAAATGCAAATGACAAGACAGCTGCTGGATTGCAGAAAGAAACTCCTGCAAATTTCAAAAAGCAAATGCATTTTTTTCTAGTAACTTTTAGCTGAGAAATTTGATTGCTCTTCTCCATAAAGAAAAAAAAAAAATCAATCCCCAAAGCAAGCCATGGACTTGGAATGTCTTCTCTCAGAACATGCTTATACTCCCACATTAAGTTTGTTGCATTAAAGCAAACAAACTGTGAGAGTCCACAAAGTAAAAAGCAGAAAGCAGGAAAAGACAAAACTAGACCAACAGACTTATGTTCTCTTTTGGTATTTCTCCTCAAAAGACTGGCTTGTAATAAAGACATTTTATTAACCTGCCTGAAGCCTGTATACTATAGAAGACTTTTAATACATGCTGAAGGATAGGCCCAGTGTACAAATAATCTTTGGAAGTATACTGAAATATTTAACTTGGTATAGAAGATAGGCAACACTGTTAAAGTGCACATATATTATACTCCAGAGAGCACATACCCTGCATTCTAGTGTGTTTGGTGTCCTTATCTTTCACTTTTATTTTTCCTGATTCAGCTGCTGAAGCTGATGTGCTGTGTTCTCTGGGAAGAAAAATTGCATTGAAAATATTTTTGGTATTAATACTCATGCAAGTAAAGGTTTTCATGGGATACACAGAGACAGAGATATTTCAATCTCAATGAAATTTTACACAAAGTACTCCTTTTGGAATTCCATCTTTAATTAGTTAAATTATAATGTTTCATTCTGAACTGTTGGAGGACAGTGCTTGTTAGGCATAGGCATTAGTCTTCCATGTGGTTCTATCCTCTTTGTCTTGCATATACTGCATATATTTATATATACCTTTAAAGATGCAGAAGTCCATTCAATGGAATCTAATCTTGCTTTTCATTTACAACCTTTCCTGTATTTGTACGAGCTGAGACCATTCTATTTTCACAAATGATAAAAACAACTCTAAATGTCTTACCTAATGTTAGGGAAATCAAACTGTGATAGCAGTGGTTTCAGATATTCTTCCATAATTTCTAATATTTCAGAGAAATCTGTTATCAAATTGTGTCCATTCTTGTCTATTTTCTCTGTTGGAGTCTATCACACACATTGCAACAAAAAACAAAATACATACAAAATTCTATTTAACAAGGATGGTGGGTGTAATATGGTAAATCAGAGGCTAAATCAGATCATTTGAAACATTATAAAGTGGAAAATATAAATAGAGCAAATCAGTTTCAAAACTACTTCACACCATCATTGCCACCACCATTTTGCAAAATATTCTAACATAAGAATCAGTATAAAATGTCAATATTTATTATCAAAGCAAATAATATATTTCTGAAACTTAAATGTGGAACAGGAAGGGAAGGAAAGTCCAGAAAAAAAAAAAAAAAAAAAAAAAAGAATAAAAACTGGAAAGGAACTGTGAAAGGACAGCATTGAGAAGTAAATAGAAGAAGATGAGTGTTGAAAAAGCAAATTATATTGTATGGAGATCAGTGGAACCAACTGAGGAAAACAAAATAAACAGAATGAAGAAAACGGATAAGGAGAGAATTGAGATGACACTATAAAACTGAATCTTCTAAAAGCCAATATAGATGGACACAAAAAAATAAATGGACAAATGAGCTCAACTAAATGTCAAAGAGTTTTAGTACTAATGGATGGACTTTCTATCCAAAGCCCTGTTTGCATGGCTTTGTGCATGGTTATATGCAAGATTAATGAAAGTTTTAATGTACATGTGTTTTAAAAATCTAAGCCACTTTTTTTTTTCTGTCTGTTCTACCTGACATTATCACCTCTGTACTGATGGAACTACATCAATCTTTACATAGCTTGCCATTACAACAAAGGCTGGCCATGGACAAGAGAAAAAGTGTTCAGCACTTTAACCATCAGGAATAATCATTATTTTAGCTGAAAGATGGTAACACAATGAATAAAACAGAATTATATTTCAAGAACCAGATGTGTCAGAGTCATGTGATTAAAAGAAGAAAACAAATGCAGAAAATTCAGTATGATCTACACTTTTCATATCAGCTACATTTTTATCATAGTTCAAGTTTTTCATATCAATGATTAAAAAAGGTCTTTACCAGTTTTTGTTAATACATAACATTTAACCAGGGAGTATAGAACGTAGCGGAGACAAAATTAAAGTAAATGAGAATAGGAGTTTATAGACTTACAGAGTGCAGAAAACCTGTCGAAAAGCATAGGCTTTTCCAGATGTTACACTTGGAATAAATGGAAAATTCTATTATGCTATACAATAACTGTTCTCTGAAAAAGTATTTCCTTACAGAACTAAGAATTCTTACAATAATAGAACTAAACCCTCTTACAGTAACAGAAAACTTTTTTCATCTAGAATTTAATGTTCAGAGCCACAGTTGTGAATTTGGAATTCCATTGAGATGTGTACTTAAAGAAAAATTTTGTGACTAACATACTTGGATCAACTCCACCCAAACAGCCAAAGTGCCAAAGGACAGTGTGCCCTAGAAAGGAACTTTTCTGTAAAAATCAGTAATTTTCTGGAAATCAGTAATAATTCTCTGGTTAAGACTGATTTATTTTGAATAAAGGGTTGAGATCTATGATCCCATTTTGGGGGGGGGACATCTGGGGCCAATGTACACAATGTAGATGTTAGACACAAAGCACCTTTTCAAGTAAATTGTTCTCAGTTGTATCAACTTTCTATCACAATAAACTACAGAACATCTCAAAGTTGTCGAATGACATTGGAAACAGTAACAGAACAATATAGTAACATTAAATGTTGACGCAGAATACACAAAACATTTAGTAGTTGCGAAGATTAGGGATGTTACACTTGGAATAAATGGAAAATTCTACATAAAGAGTGTTCATGATAGTTTTTTAGTACATATTTTTCAGTCTTGTTTGAATATAAGGTAATCAAATATATTACCGTATCAGTTTTAGTGATGCACTCTTGCAGGCTTTGAATGACAGTTTCTTTAAGGTGACTCTTCATATTTTGTTGCTTGTAAAGGATACACTTTTTCCAACAAAGTACAAAATGTATTGGGATTCACAGGAAATCGAGAAACTTTAGCTTGCACTAATAGTGAAGGAGAATAACATCATCATGAGACACATTCTTTTTGAGACATCATATTTGTACTTGAAGAAATTACAAGAGAGACCATCAGTATCTAAAACAATATATTCTGTTGTTCTTTGAAAAACTGTTTACATATATGTTGCATAACAGATATGTACAATGAAAAAACAATCTCCTGACATGTATTTAACAGCAACTTTAGCCTTAAAATATACACTAAAATTCTGTAAATTCTGTCTGGATACACTGTATCTGATAATGAAACATGCATTTAGGTATCTACTTTTCTCAGGTACTAATGAGTTACCACTATTTAAACAATTATTTAAAAATTTCATTGAAGGAAACAGTGAAACATATAAGCAATCAGGGTAATGATTTTTATCTCTAACTGTAAGAGGCACTTACCCATTGGCTGAGTGGATTTTCCCTTCTGCTGTGCAGTACTTACTTTTGGTTTCTCAATCAATGAGCTGTACAAGTTTGATCTATAAAAAGCAGAAAACTGCTGAGTAGATTATTTAACTGTTCAGGCTTATTGATGTGAATGAGTTTAGTTGCATGAGTAATTACTACCCTACAATTTAATGTGCTAGTACTCTCATGATGCATTAATTACCCCCCACCTTGGGGTGCAAAAACCTGCAAAATCCAATTGGAACAAACTGACAGCTTTAAGAAAACATCTTTCATTGCTATATATCCGGTAAGGGAGATTTTTATTTGTTCTATGACAGTTGTTTAAGACTTTTCACAGTTGGTGAAACTGTACATAACCAGTTGCTACAGTTGTTTACGAGTTCTCACTCATGAGGCTGCAATAACCAGGCTATGCGAGGTTTTATAAAGCTAAATGGGACTCCTCCTGACATTTTCAGGAGCATAACCAGTGAGAGATGAAAAATATAAACAGGATTTAGGAGGATAACAAGAATGGTCTAAAACCTTTCAAATAAACTCTGGAGATTAAACATATAACTACAGAAAAAAAAAAAAAAGGCCCAGAAATAGTTAAAAGTACAGGTTTGAGCTGCAGGTGGTTTTATTTGTTTAATAATTTGCACACTAACCTAAAATTCAAATCCAGCAAAATTAGAAGTAAAAGACAATAAGCAAACAAAATAGTGCTTATTCACAGGTATAGAAGGATGACATTTGTAACAAACAGAATAACAAATGAAAATGATGACATTTTATACCTGTCTTCTGAATGCTGGAGAATAATTATGTAGAAATTAGATGGCAATTCATTCACTATATTAAAATGTTCTACAGGAATACAGAGATTTCTCCATGCCTGCATAATAATTCAAAAATAAAATTATTTTAATACATTTTATTAACAACAATTTCAGTTCTTCCATGAGAAAATCGACAATTCTAGTAAATAAGGTTTTAATAATTTAACAGGACTAGAGGTAATGGACACATGCTGAAACATAGGAGGCTCCATCCAGACATAAGGAAACATTTACATGTATTCATTGTGGGGTGACAGAGCACTGGCACAGCTTATCCAGAGAGGCTGTGAAGTCTCCCTCCTTGGAGATGCTCAAAAGCCATCTGGACATGATCCTGGGTAACCTGCTCAGAGTAGCCCTGCTTGAGCAGGACAGATTGGATCAGATGACTTCCACGGGTCTCTTCCAACCTCAACCTTTCTGTGATTCTGTGATTTTTATGCAGTGCAGAACTTATAAATAATATTTAAAACAAATTTGAATTACTGTAACTTAGCCCACTTTTCATAGCAACATGACTTTTTTGGCCACTACACTATATGTGAAGTTAAAATGTTATCAAATCCTAGCATAATATTATCAAAGGCAGGTAGCAGAATAATTCAATGTAACACACACTTGTAAAAGTGTTTCACGAATTTGTTAAAAACAGACACTTCACCAAAAGAAACTATATAAAATTTTGCAATTATTGCTAACAAATATAGAACTGTTTTCAAGAGAACACGGAAGAAAAGTGATTCAACAGTCAGTCACCAGATGAAATATTTGTTCTAATACAGAAAGCCCCATAAATGTCTTTGACTCTGTTACATTTAAGCATGTGCATGTATGTGTTCTTCAGATTGCAGCAACCCCAAAGGTGTCTTCAGAACAAAATATTGTCCTATTCCTTGTGCTAAATAAGATAATACAGCACATACAGAGAAGACCCAAAATAATGGCCTACAAATACTTTTTTTTATTCTGTACTGTACTTCTGCTTGCCACCTTTTTTAAATGTTTAATTCCTGCCAGTTACAGTTAAATCTTTGTACCTAACTTTCTGGCAGTTTTAAATTTCATTTAATTTTTATTCTTTTCTAACTGAGGGTCTTCAAATTTTAGTTTTGGTATCCACTTTTAGATGTCAGATGTTTGAAGAACACATATTTCTCAGATGGTTTAGAACAAATGACAGATTACTTTTGTCCCAGAAAAGTTTATCTGTCATCTGCTCCAGAACTATGAATTACATGAAATATTTTTTAACTGGTTTTTTTTTTTTTTTAAATATCATAGTTTAGATGATGTCTAGAGGCTAACCAACAGAGATTTTAATAAAAAGATCAATTATATATATACGTATATATATGTAAATGAACCTTGTCATAGGGTAGCACTTGTGTGGGGGCTTAAGTATCTCAAACAGCACGACTGGTTGCTGTCTAGATGGTGACTAGAGTCTCTGCTGCCAGGGTCCTTTACAACAGCATCGTCAGCTGGATTGGATGAGACTCACATGGAACTAAGGATTTAAGTGTACTGAATTCAGAGAGCACAGCTCTGACAACCAGATACACCAAATTGTAACTACAGGACAAATTTGGATTTCATCTTTGTATCTCAATTCTAATTTAAATTACATAGCTCATGCCACACAGATAACCTAGCATAAACAAAACCACATGACAATACGGACCATACTAACAAACAGTGAGTTTCAGTCATGACCAAGTCAACCCATACCTGAAATTAAGAAAATAAAAATGTTCAACAGAGTTCAAAGGAAACAGATATGTATGTATATGTCTATATGTGTGTTTGTATAACATACATATAAACACCTCATAAGTAACGCATATCAAAAAGTTACCATTGAAGTAGCAGTCAGTTGCTGTTCCACATTTTTCAGAAGATCACTTGTGTTCCTGTTTTGTTTCAATTGATTTTGAAGATGCAGTAATGCTGCCAGCTGAGAGCTGCTGGTGTCAGAATTAGCTGTTAGAAGGATATGTTTCATCATCATAGATGCTGAACAGCTCTGTAAAACGTTTAGAGGTGCTTAGTTTCTCTCCCCAAAATCATATAAATACATATATATATATTATATGTTAATTATAACATGGATATATATGTATGTTAAAGAAATAGTCTCTCACTTAAAAATCTGATTTATTGCATTCCACTCACTGATGGAGCTATTTGGAAATCTAAGTGTTGACACAGTGACATATGCTTAATGTCTGCAATAATTTCCTGTGGTTGCCTTGATGTGGGAGGAAGAAAATTAGTATAAGGTGCATTTCTCTATTTCTGCAGTGGAGAAGACGGTGTAGGAAGTACTGTATTATTTGTTCCTGATGTAGGGAATATGAGACTTACAGCCATTCCTTATCTTCGTTGTGGTGAAGGCCCATAGTCACAATAGTCACACTAGTGATTCATATACCCTTGACTCACCTACAGAATCATGCTAAGTAGGTGCTGATTTGACAAATTGAACATAAACCTTTCCTATCTACATGAAAATAATGAATGAATAAATGCACAGAAACATTTTTTAAATTATTTGTCAGGGAAGGATTAAAATGTTTTGTGTTAATGTCTTATCTTACCTAATCACAATATAATAAATTATTCATAATAAAATATTTGCATGTATGCAATCAACAATGAAAACTTCATGTTAAGCACAACAGATACTGGAATTGTCAAAAAGCCATGGAACAAACATTTTGACCTCAGTTAACATACTGTATATTTAGTTACCCATATTACCAATTAGTGCCTATATGTATCTGTACGATCAATTATCAGGCAGGATCTGTACGATGAATGATCAGGCAATGTCTATAAACAAACATTCTTGCTTATGTAACTCAACACAACCTGGAAAAATGAATAATACATTAGCTGCATTACCTGATGAAGGGCTAAAAACTGGCTAGTCGAAACTGGATCAAATTGTCCAAAGCATTCAACCATTTCCAAACTAGCAGGACCAAGTACATTGGTAATATTATAGCTGAATGCAATACCCATACACTGTAGTAAAGCTTCACTGCACTGAGAAAGATATTTCTGAGCCAACCTAAGTTCCTTCTAGATGATAAAAATAGAAAGGTTTATATTAAAATATGCCTTAATATTAAATATTTATTAAATGTATACAGATTATTTTTGTGTTAGAAAAATAAATATTATTTTTCACGGTCAATAATGTTTTTCTCCTTTTTTAGACATTTATTATGTTCAAAATATGCAAAATAGATAAATTATTCAGCAGATGCCACATTTGTTATGCAGTATTAAAACATAAATGTTTTAAGAAAATACCTTCCTTAATATAAAACATGTAGTACATTTTAGCAAAACTATACTTAAATTCCAGAGAATAGGAGCTGCTCAGAACAAAGGAATTTTCAGTCAATTTACAAAACAGTTGTTTCCATTTACAGTAAATTATATTTAATACAAATAAAACCACAATTTTCTTAATTTAATTATTACATCAAGTTATCAATTAACAATATAAACTGTATATCTCCTCCTTCTAGTGTGCTTTGAGTTGCAGTAGTTAACACAGATCAGCTCAGCATACAGCTTAAATTTTGTAAGAATTTTACAGATGTTTTATGACAGAAGTTATCTACTTGTTGCCAATCTGCAAAATGTTACATTCCTTTAAAAAGGCATGTCTGTGCAGCAAAAAGCTGCTACACGCTGGATCAATGAAAATCTTTAAAGGGGAAATTACTTCTACCTGGGAGCTCAATCAGAATCATAGAATCATAGAATCTCCCAAGTTGGACGGGACTCATAAGGATCATCGAGTCCAACTCCTGGCACCACACAGGTCTACCCAAAATTTTAGACCATGTGACTAAGTGCACAGTCCAAATGCTTCTTAAACTCCAACAGACTTGGTGCAGTGACTGCTTCCCTGGGGAGCCTGTTCCAGTGTGCAACCACCCTCTCAGTGAAGAACCTCTTCCTGACGTCTAGCCTAAACCTCCCCTGCCTTCAGATTAACACCATTCCCGTGGGTCCTATCACTGGTGACTAAGGAGAATAGATTGACGCCTTGCTCTCCACTCCCTCTCGTGAGGAAGTTGTAGACCGCAATGAGCTCTCCCCTCAGCCTCCTCTTTTCCAGGCTGAACAGGCCAAGTGACCTCAGCCGCTCCTCATACATCTTCGCCATCTTTGTAGCCCACCTCTGGACACTCTCCAACAGTTTCATGTCTTTTTTGTACCATGGTGCCCAGAACTGCATCCAGTACTCAAGATGAGGCTCCTGCAGAAGCTCCCACAGCATGTATTGAGATGCAGGACAGAGACACAAGAGAGGTAAAAAGATGGGATTTTCTGGGCGTTTTGGAGATTCTCATTTGTAAGATCAAATTTATGTTACAAACATTTTCATTACCATTTCAAACAGAACTGATAAGGTAAGAAAATTATTTTTTTAAACTACTAAAACATGCCCAAATACCTTTAATTCCTGTACTTTCCTCCTATACTTATCAAACCGACACTTATTAGACAGTAAACTGATGTCTGTCACTTTCTGTTCATTGCATTCTCCTGAAATCAGGAAAGGTTTAGTGATGTCCAATTTAGCTTCTTCCTACTCATCACGGCAGGAAAAAAAAAAAAAAAAAGTTAAACATTACATCATTACATCAGGTACAGGTGGCTTCATTTCTTTTGTGAATGTTCAGGTGAAAATGAAACCCATGTTAAAAGATATCATATCACTACATGAATTCCTCGATGGTGATTTAGCAATACTAACAGACATCAAAATTTCTTAATATGTTATGATGACAATACGTGTAATAGAAGCTAAAAAGGATGCCCATACAATCTCTTAGATTTTTGATTTTATGGTCTTTCTTCCTCCGTTTATTTCTTATGAACACTTCAATCCATCACTAAAATTGATTGACTCAATCAACATTCATTTTCTTACATGGCGTTCTTACTGCAACACAAAAGGAAGTTATAAACCTGAGCATTTCAAATACAAGTCCTTACTTTTCTTCCAAGGTTACAAAGACAAAGCTAACAAGCCCTTTAAGCCCTTCAAGAATTTTTTAATCTCTCCTGAAAATTTTGGAATTATCATATATCAGGAGTAAGTAAAAAAGTAATCTACATAACAATGGCATGTTGACAGAAGCATTTTTTTCTGAAATTCATTGGTTCAGCAAACATTTTTCTTACGGCTTGTATGCAATATGTAAAATCCAGAATAAAGAGTATTCCTATACAAGTGCATTTAGAAAAAAATACTGTGGTAGACAAACTTTACACACAAAAACTAATTTCTATGTAGAGAAGAATGCATACCATAATGTTTGGCTTCCAGTAGATTTCTGAATGTACAGGATCTATGTTAATGGCAAGTAAATGAAGACATTTTCCAGTGAGGTACAGGCACTTGGATTTGATGTCAGGGCAGCCTTTACAAAGATTCTGTATGTTTGCTAACTGAGCCAGTGTAATATGACCTATAGTGTACTCCATATGCTTCCAATCCTGGTAAAATATGTAGTCATGTTTATTTGCTCATATATACCCACACATACAGAAACATACTTTTAAAATATATATATATATATACATGTGTGTACACACAAGAACATTTGTTAAATCCAATTACTTTTAACAACAAAATAGCTGCATCTAACAGATACACAAATTCATTACCAATTGATAAAAAAAAAAAAAGTACACTAACGTATATAAGCAAATGACAAACAAATCTGAGAAAGAGTAAGGGGTAAAGGGGGTACCAGAGAGAGTGCTGGGGCTGCTACGCAACAGTAGCATTTCCTACTGTTGCTGTCAGAGGTAGAATAATGGGCAAGAAATACTGCTCTGTTCCAGCGGAGCACGTCTTGTTTTCTAAATCACCAGCTCAGTTAAGCAGTTCTGCTTAAAACCATTTAAAAAAGACAGTATTTTTAAAAAGCTCAATTATGAAGCCTCAAGTAATTTCCCTGTAACAATTAGTTGTTTTTAAGTCTTTGCATTTAAGAAACAGAATTTTTCTTAAAAATCTTAACAAATAACAACAACAACAAATGCACCAAAAAAAAAACACTAGAACTTTCTTTGCTGCAAAACTAAATGAATGGCCTGAGAAGCCCTTTCCTCAGTAGTGGAAGTTCTACTACAGAAAACAGCCCCGGTAAAGTTTGTTATACCTTTATATGCAAATCACAAGAATAATATGTTGTGTTACCTGTTCTGTTGCATTATCTTTAGTAGTTTCTCCACAGAATGATTCTGCAATTCTATGGAATGTTTTTCCCACTTTTTTAAGCTTTTTCTCGGTAGTAACAACTTGAAAAATATCCAGAAGAATTTCCACAAGGTTTAGCTTCCTGTTACCTAGTTGCCTCATTAATGGTATGCTAGTATTTGTATTCTGAAATACAGAAGAAAGGAAAGTACAGTTTTACTTCCAAATATATTTGCAAAGTTAGCTGCTAAGAAGTTAGAATGTTGTATTTCTTTTAACTAAAGAAGCAAAAGTTTTAACATTATTGCCTCGATAGATCATAGATATGGCTATGTAACTTAAAATAATTTAAGAGTAATTTAATTTTCAAAGATAAATCTTAAATACAATACAAGACAATGAAAGTAGCTGCTTAGAACAAGAGTGGCTGGATTTCTGCTTGCCATGTTTTATGTACCCAGTACAAATATCTAATTATAAAGGCATTAAAAATGTGTACATAAAAACAGAATTTTATAATTGCTCATTTTTGCAACAGTCTTTAGAAGCAACACAAGAATACTTTAAAAAAGGCAAAGCAGAAAAAAAGCTAGATGCTAGAGTATAATAACAGTACACACTAAGCAAAGTAGACTGCAGGCTGTTATTACCCAAAATACAGTATTCTAAAGACAAGTTTTCTTTATTTACATAACAGTCAATGTAAATGTTTTTCTCCTCAGGAATACATTTTATTGTGAGTAGTTTAAACCTGTCAGGTCTTTAGAGGATAATTTCATCAAAATATCTCCAAGTTTATATTTTTTCCTTTTGTAGCTTTTAGATAAATTTTAGAATTATAGACAATTGACAAAATAAATCTTCTCATTTCTGTCTTTCTTCTTCCTCTCTTAAACTGTAAATGTTTTGGGCATCAGAATGTTCCCTTCCTGTGTTCATACAATGCCTATCGTTACAGGAAGATAATCTCATTTGGGGCTTCCACAAATCATCCAAAAGCAAACAAATAGTAGAACTAAATTAGATTTATTTTCTTAAGTAATAAACATATATATATATATCCATCCATCCATACCTCATTAACTGCAATTAAGCTGCAAACATTATGAAACACTTCTTCTGCTTTGGATACTGCCATCTGAGCTAAGTTATAAGCATCTAGACAGTGACTATATTTTTCTTCTTCATTTCCTTCCTGCTTGGCAATCATCCTGAAAAAAACATAGAAACAAAAAAATAATGTAAAAAAGTATTTATTTTTACAGTATCAACAATATTGAACATACATGATAGATAAAACACACTTTCGTGTGTTTGTTTTTTATATATTCAAATAGTAAAAGTAAATGTTCACACATTATTGTTTTTGAGGGGTTATTCCTGGAACTGTACTACTGCAATGCAAAGAGATTTTAATAAATAAAATAACAGCAGATAATACTCCAGTGTATCTATTCACCAAGAACAAAATTCCAGAACAGCTAGTTATAATACGTATCTCAGTCATTATAATATATACTGTATATTCTGGAAACAGCTTAGAGTGAAGGCATACTTCGTTTTGCACCAGAATTTCTAGTAAAACATTTCAACAGCAATAATTGTAAAAGCCTATAGATACTTGAGAATGATTGGCATGGTTGCCCAAATGCCTTTACAAATGGAAAGACAAAAAACTGGCTTAGAGACCTTGATACTTTGTTTTGCTCAAAGACAGTACAAAAAACAGTAGACTAGGTAAAAATAACTCTGCCTTCAGTGGAAAAGATTTTTGATTCTGAAGTATTTTCTGAATATAGAACACATTCGGAATACAAATATACACCTAATATCCAGATATAAAAGCTATAAATATTATCTGCTCTTTTCTATCTTAGACTACAATAATGTAAATAATACACTTTCTAGATTAGTTAAACTTAAATACAATTTTTCAGCGTAGGTATAATCTTACCTGTGAATATTTGCACGTTCCAGCAAAATCTCAGCACTGCAGTTTTTATGCCCATAATTAAGGAAGTCTTCCTCAATCTGAATTAATTTACTGTAAGATCCCTGTAGCATATGTGGCGACTGACAAGGCTCAGTATTAACAGTCAAACAATTTTGAGCAAAATGTATCTCAATAAGTGCTTTCCTAGGGATAAAAATTATGTACAGGATGGCAGTCAGAAAGCACAGGCTGTATGTATTTCTCTCTGTCTTCCTTTAAATTATAATAAGCATATAAGAAGCCTCTGAATTCTTTAAATTAATATTCTACAAATGATAGTATGTCCTGAAAAATATCATAATTTCAGATTAGAACAGAGGTGTCAGTTGTTCCATGTATCTAATTTTTCAAACTACCTAGGCCTAGTCAGTTTTCTCAGCATAGCTGAAATGAGGAAACTATTAGTCTTCCCTTTCTAATCCAGAAGTTTAGTATTTCTGGAAAGAAAAGGAAAAAGTTACGTCTTTCTCTCTTTTCACCTACACATTTTAAGCAATCTGTACTTCGATTTCAATATCACAAAAGTCATTGTTTAGTTTCACCATAAAAAGACCTCTTGGATAATGGTGAAGAAAAAAGTAGGTCAATACTGTGGTTTATGAGAGTTGTGGAAATATATGAATGTTGTGGAAATATCTGCAACAGAGACCTCTGCACAGGCAAATGTATCTCAGTCCTTTGGGTAGCCTACACCTCAAACTATGCCTAATAACATTGTGGTATCTGAACTAGCTTACTAACTTACCAGGTAATAGGACTCTGTACAAGAATAAAGAAATTGGAAAGGAAATTTAAACAAACAAACAAACAAACAGAATAAGCAGAATTACTTGGGAGAAAAATATTTGAGAATCTTCCGAATGCACTATACTAAAATGAAGGTGAGTGACAAAACTAGTATTTACCTGCAGCTGGAGGTATATAGTGGAGCATAGTGGAGGCTGGATATATGTTAATAAAAAGACAATTACCTGGCTTCAAGGGATGCAATTATAAAACCCAACTCAGATTCTCTGTTAGGTCTCTTCAGTAAGGTAGATCTAAGTACATATACAGTGTGTTCCAGTATCTTACAAGCCTGCAGGTAACATCAGAATTTCACTTTAAATGTTTGCTGTTAATATTAAACATTAATTTAGAAAGCTTATATTTTGTACAGAAAATGTTAAATATCTTTCCCTAATATTCACAGCGACAGCTGATTTTTGGCAACTGTAGGCAATTCTAGAAAGTGTAAGTTGTAATTGTATTTAGGTATTTCGCTATGGTTAAAAGATTGAAGCACATACACACAAGGAAAGGATAAAAGAGTTTGGCCTGAAGACAAAGTTAAGAGGTGCGTACTACTGCTGCCCTCTTTTCTCTAAGCACACCATGCACAGAAGATGGAGCCAGACTCATCTTGAAGTCCCTAGCTGGTAAGTGAGAATGCCCCTTTGATGATGCTCAAAACCTCATATATAGATTTGTCCTTATTAAAGGTTTTTGTTACTACAGTCATGTTGGTTAGCCATGTAGACAAAAACAAAACAAAACAAAAAAAACCAACGCATACTACATTAACAGCCATACTGGTAAACCCACAGTAAATGCCTGCCCTCACTGGTAACTAGGTATTTTGTCTTTCAACGATTGTAGATGTGAATTCACCCAAAGCCAAAAAAATCTCTCTGTACAGGAAAGACTTGCATGTAATATCAATAAAGGACAGAGCATCACAGGACACAACAGAACTATATCTGTGCTGAAGCTCATGGAAGTTAAGGGCTGAACAGTAAATTTTAATGTTAAGGGTAAAATAAGAAAATGTTTTTAATAAATATATGTATTACATTAGTATCTTTCAGGCTCTAAAAATCAGTATTTGAAATGTAACTACATACTGGGAAACAATTCTAACTTCTAACTAAGATTCTAAAGTTAGAATCTTTATTAAATATGGAAAACAAACACATGTCAACTGTTTACAGTTTACAAAGGATCTTATCCAAGAGAATTGCATCCCTGACATTTAGTTACACATACTAGAGTACTGTTGTTCTTATTTCAATAGAAGCATATACAACCTAACACTAAAAAAAATTATACTTCTGTGGGGACAGTCTCATTCCTACTTGCATGCATCTGTTTGGAATTCATAATTAATGTTTGTTGAACTGCACAGCCAAGCAAACAACATTAACTGCATTTAACACCTAATTTTGTACTGAAATGCCAAGGGCATAAAATTTCTCTTCATTGAAAGTGAGGTACAGCTGCAGAAAAGTAAACAATAGTTCCATACCGATCTCCGTTTTTCTTCCCCCTCTTCCTCTAGAATTGCCTCTATTAGACTAACAGTGCTGTTGTACCAAAACTGTTCATTTCCTCCTAGAAGCTGCGCTTTCTCAAGAAGTGCTTTAGCTTGTCTGTGTTTTTTTTCCAGGTTAGCCAAAACAGCCAATAAATACAAGCACCTTGACGCATCATATGGAGTCCTCAATTCCTAGGAAAAAAGATACATTACCTGTATATGAAAGAACCACTACCACTATTCATATTTATTTATATTCAGATTTTAGATAAAACTTATGAATAGGGTCAGAAATAAGAATTGAATAGTATTTCTTCATTTACTTGTAGAATTTGTTAGTTACTTTTTATATTACTTGTCCTTTTTCAAAAGCACAAAGTGTCTACTATGAACCAAAAACTTCAAATCTTCAAATATAGTTTGTATTTCTTTGTTTCCACACCTTCTACCCCACAGAAGTCAAATAAGCAATTTTTCTTCTATTATTTGATACCATAGAATCATCTAGGTTGGAAAAGGCCTTCAAGATCATCAAGTTCAACCATCAACCTTACCTACCAAGTCCCACCACTTAAACATGTCACCTAGTGCCATATATGCATACACCTACTGTCATTTGTCTGTATATGATGGAGGTATTAAATTTTTTTTTTAGTGAACTGGGATCTAGATACTGGAGCTCCAGTAAATTTACAACACTATTTTATGCTACTTAAAAAGTATATACTAGTAGTATACATGATCCTAACATACAGCATACTAAAGATAGTATACTGGCATGCAGACATATAGCATAAAAAACGCTATAGAAAAAAAATGTATCATTAAAATACGTTGTCCTCCCTGATGTCATCTGAACTTTTCTCAATGTACAATACTAAATTGATGCTTCAATAAAAGAAATGTATTATTTGTTAATATATGATTCCATATATTAAAATCATATAAATTATTGAAATCACATTATATATTTAAAATATTAATCTTTTAAATATAAAAATATTAATAATATTATATAATACAATGTGTATAGGATATATCATATATAATATGTATAATGTATATAATATGTAATTAGTCATAAGTATTAAATTGAAATATTAAAATATTAAAGTTATATTTACATTATTAAAATTTTAGCTTTCTTCATGCTTAACGTACTTCAACAGTTTTTACTTACATCAGCAAAATTAGTTAGTGGAATAACAGTATATTTATATAATCTTATTTTTTTTTAATTAAAGCAATTACAATAATTATGCAACAGTAACCTGCATAAGCAGGAAGAGAGCTGTAGTACAGAATACAAGTTGTAGGAAGAATATTTTTAATATAAAAACTTCACATTAAAGAGATTAAATGGCTTAGTTTGGTGGAACACAGGGACACTTTAAATCAGATCTGCCAGAGTTCTAAGTCATAATCTCTGCATAACTGGCTATCACTAAACATAATAACATTTAATAAAACATGTTATAAAACGTGTTTATAAAAATGTAGCACCAAAATCACAATAAAATACTAAGTGATATAATTAGATTAAATGGTGAGGGGATGGAGATAAATGTCATATCTCTCTTATTAACAAATCTTGAACATACATAAACTATCTACACAAAGAAAGTTTGAACATAACTAGATGTTCCAAGGGTCACTGCAAAGCAGAGAGAGATGCTAGCACTATTTCACAAGTTGAAATAATCTTCAATAATCAGAAAGTTGAACTTAAGTTTCATATATTTAAATGCATTTATATTTTCAACTTCAATTGGTTTTTGCTTGGTCAGTTTTCTTTATTAGCACTATGAATGTTCTGGTTAGTTTCCCTTACTTTAATGAATAACAATGCATTCTCAGTTTAACAGTACTTTTATTTCTGCTTTAAAAAATATATCCCAGCAGTTACTTGTTTTTCTATTTGATTATTATTATGAGAAATGACTATATCAAAATTAACATTTTTCCTATATGTTATATTTTTTTTTTTTTCTGTTTTATTTCTGATGTACCTGAGTTGCAGCATGGGCCTCTGAAAGCAGTAGTCTTGCCGGCTGATACAAACCTAGCTGAATTAGCACTTCAGCTTTTTCTATCCATAAGTAGGGGAAAGAAAGTGCACTCAGTCCTTTGCCTGTTATTGCATTTAACTCAAAAATCTGAAAAATAATAAAATATTAGACTGTTATAAATTTTAAAACTAAGCTATATGAAATACAAACTGTTATTAACTATTATATCCAGTCCCTGATATATCTCACAGTCCAGCTCTATTTTGTATTTTCTTAAAATTTTGAAGTTGTTTTATAAGACAAACAGGTTTACTGTGAGTTTTGGACCTTTGTAATATGCAAAAGGTAGTTAACTGATAAATTTATACTATTACAATTAATTTTAGGACTGATTAACTACTTCAGATCTGCTACTGTAAGGAAGTAATTGACTCTTACTAGTAACTTTAGTAACTAGCAACTTGCTTTTGCTCCTCAGCCATTTTCATTGATTTGTTTAGTCCCAAATTCCATTTGTAGAAAAGTGGCTTTTCTTTGTATGAATACTGATTCTATTCTTGTTCCACAATATAGATAATATGCCAGGCAAACCCAGCTCACATTCAGCTGATGACTGCCAGCAGAATTTAAGTAGTATGCACTTTTAATTAACTTTTTGTGTGTGTTGAATTACTTCTCAGGTATAAAATTATTTTAAAACAATGTAGGAAGTACATTAAAATCAAAAGGAAAGAGTAATTTATTAAGGAAATGGGAGTAGAAATAAAAACCTTTTTCCCTGAAGTGAGGATATTTTCATCCTTACTACCATTCAGCTGAGCACTCTCCAAGAATGTTTTTCTTTCTTCTGTCTCAGTATGTTTTTTTTTTTCCTTTTTCAGTGCAATCTCTTGCCTACACCTAAATTGTAACAAAGAAAAAATTAATTCGCGTATGTTTTAGAAGTATTTCATAATGAAATATTAGTGTATTAGGCAGCTTTACCACACACTCACTCTGTATATAGAGTCCCCTATATAAATTTGTATTAAGAGATCATTTTTTAAATACCTTTCTTTTCCTGTCAACACTTAGTAACTGTAGGGAAATAAATATGTACGTACATATATACATTAAGCCTATGTATGTAGAAATACATACATTACTTGTTCTAATTCACTGATGTATGCTTCTCCAGCAGCTTTCTCATGATATGAAGATGCCTGACTAAGTTTTAGGTCTGAACATATCAGGGCAATTCTAAGGGAAAAAAAAAGAAAAGAAAAAAAAAGGAAGAAATGTTTAAGAAACAAGAATCTTACAAAAGTTGTTTCATATAAACACATTAAAAACATATAAACACATTAAAAAGAAGAGCATATATTCCATATTTTTCAACCTTGCTTTCATATGTCTTAACTAATATGGGTAGTAACAAACATTTTTTAAAGAAATATAGGTATATTTGAAATTACCTATTGAAGAGGTAAAAATATGAAAATAGCATTTTTAATATGGTCTTATTACAGCATGCAAAAACCACAGGCATATGAGCTAACCGGCTACACTACATTAGTAAAGAATCACCTATTCATGTATATCTATCAGATCATATATGAAAAACAGGTCACGAATAAAATAAATAAATAACGAAATAAAAACAACTCTTGAGGCATTAAGAAAAAAATTTATCTGAAAAAGCTTCATTGCAAATCAATTTCGTATTAGTAAACCACTTCAGTCTTGTGAGACAGTAACTCAGTAATCAATTATCCAGATGAGCACACATCCATTTGTATACAGAAATGGATGTTTCTACATTTGTCAACTCTATTATGTCAAATCAGTTTCTAGCATTTTAAAAATAGATTCTATGGCATTTCAGAAACTATTGGGAATAAAGCTAGTATTAATTATTGCTGATAATAACTTAATTATTAAGCCATTATTATGCAGTACACTTCTGAAGTGTGATAAAATGTTTTAACTGATAAGCAATAATTCACGCCTGCATGCATATTAAATATTTTTGTTTTAAAAAAATCAGGGCTTAACATCCATAACGATCCAGAATTTTGGTCACAAAAGCAACTCTGGAAAGAGAATGACAGAGCTAACTGAGGATACCTATCTGGGTTCTGAAGTAATATATTTTTGATGCAAGATGGGAGCCTTCCTTTCGAATATTTAAAACATAATATTTTAATTTAATTTTGTTTGGACTCCTTTCAGTTAGATGAGAATAAGACATTACAAAAATTATTCACATGAAAGTGGCTTGAGACCCCAAATCTTGTATATCTTTCCTCAAGGAGATGATATTTAGTAACTGATTTTCTGGCTTTAATGCCACAAGCAAAACAATTCATCAAAACACCCTATTAAAATGAAATGAATGAATGAAATGAAGTGAATGAAAAAAAAATAATTTAGAAAATTACAAATATAAAACAAATCACAAAAAGCATTGTTTACTATTTAGTGAAACACTGATGGACAGTCCACTTCATTCTGGTTCTCTTTTATTTAAAACAAATAAAGAATACAAACCGAAGGTGATAGAGATCGGACAGACTTCTACATTCCACAACTTCATTAGCAATAACTTCAGCTAGCTGAAAGATGGGAAGTATCAAGTGGGGGCAAAATATTTGCTGTAGTTCTTGAGCTAAAATGTCTATAAAATGCAAAGTGCATGTCTGAAAAAAAAATAATTTTGTAGAAAATATATTTAAAATTACTGATTAAATATTAAGTTCTGAATGCTACTAAAACAAATATAAACAAACTTTCAAGATGAAAAAGCAGCTACATACACACGAATACAGCAAATTTACTCTGTAGGTTAAGTTCATTTCAAAAATGCAGAGATAGACATTTGAAATATTAAGGAACGGAATGACACAAAAGTATTTCTGATAGCTGTCTGAACATACTCTTTATCACAAATACAAGAAAACTAAAATGGTACATAGGTCTCCACTATTCAATTTTTCCCTTAAATAAGTGCTCTAGAATTTTGAGGAGTAGACTCACAGGTTTTGTGAAATTATTCCAGTTAATACCATAACTATTTGTTTTCTGTTTAAAAGTATTTCTAACTTCATTGGGACAGTCATAATGAGCCCATTCTTCCACATTTATTGGTAAGGTATCAACTGACTCCTTCCTTTTAGGCTGCTCTTTCACAAAAGATTCTTCAACCTGTAATTTAAAATACAGCCATTCATGAGGCCCAAGTTGATATTTTGTTTGGTATTAAATTTTTAGCTAACATAAAAAACTTACTTGTTTAGTGTCTTTTGAAGTTTTGTCTCTTTTTTGACCTCTAGACTGGGGGTTCTGCAAAAAAGCAGTATTGTAACCAATGCAGCAAACAAAAGAAAAGTATCTGTACATTTATGACCTGCCAAGACCATGCAATCAGAAGTGAAAATATGATAAGAGTCAGAGAAAAGTTCTTCACAAAATACAAGAGTTTTTATAGGAAAGCACTTAAGTTATTTAACAGACAAGCACAGGGAAATATCTGTTATGAAGAGACTATTGATTTTATTTCATAGGAACAGGGTTCTTACTTGTTTCTCTTCCTTTTTGTCCTCTTTCTTACGAGCAATTGTTGGCTGTGCATCCTGAGGAGCTGTAAATTGTGAAGACTTTGATAATGCTCCTATAATATGTCCTGATGCTGACAATGATACCTAGATGAGAAAATAATTACGGTGTTGTTTTTTTTGTTTGTTTGTTTGTTTTTCCTGGAAATTTCTAGTAGTAATAATTATTCATTGTAAATCACTACCTACTAAAAATTGTCATACACCATGCTTTTTTACATGCGAGCTTTCTTCACAAAACAAGAAAATTCAAAGTATCCTAGATGCTGGCATTATTTGTACAAGCATTTTGGAAGATCATGATAATGCACGTAAGCAGCTGAACTGTCAGATGACATCCTATCCTCCCTGGATCTATAATAAAGCTACTTGGGTGGTTGGGCACTGGAACAGGCTCCCCAAGGAAGTGGTCAAGGAACCGAGCCTGCTGGAGTTCAAGAAGCATTTGGAGAATGCTCTCAGACACGTGATCTTATTTTTATGTTTATCTATTTATTTATTGTGTGGTCCTTTGAGGACCCAGGAGTTGGACTCAATGATCCTAGTTGGTCCCTTCCAACTCAGATTTTCTATGATTCTGTGATTTTACTTTTTTAATCTATATGGTTGGAAATTAAATTCTTACTTTAAACTACTAGTCTAGATTGCTTAGTCCTCTATAAATAGAGACAGAGGATCAGGGGTTCAAATGAATCTGGAAGACTGAAAATATGAAAGAGCCACTTTATTGTACTTTTGGAGTGGTCTTCTATATTGCGTCTAGTGAATGTGATATAACAGAAATTTCTAAATATTTAAACATATGGAAGCATCCAGAGAAAGTTCCTCGCATGTAAAATAACAACACTTCTGATCTTGCCTAAAGCATAGAAACACGTATTAATCTGAGAAGATGAACGTATTTCATTAGAGTTATCTAGAGTAGAAGAAAAAATATCACCAAAAAAAAAATAATGCTGGATGCTGCACAACTTCTGCAATGCCACCCGTAGCATTAAGACTGTTTATATGAAGATTTGAGGCATTACTATTATCAAGTATAGATTTAGTGCTTTCGAAGATTTACTCATATTTAACATATAATAATAATCCTATGATTTTTGCTATAATGCTCAATTAACCATTTAAATTGTGCATTCATATCAACGAGAAATCAAATACACTTGTTTGATTTGAAATGCTGTACCAATGAAAAAGCGATTGAAGAATAATATTTAATGAAAACTGCCCGTCTATACTTTTTTTTCTCAACATGTAACAAACAAATCAACACTTTAATTTATTTTAACTACATCAGATGATTCCATTTAGTTGAATCACAGCCACTTTAAATCCATCTAAGTGACAGTCTAAGTCCCCTCCCTCAGAACTGTCAGCAATGTCTTCAGTGTGTATTCTGATGCTAGTGAGATTCTTTAACTAATTAAAAATACAAAATTTTAGAAACACAAAAAAATCACAAGAAAAGAATTATTGCATTCCAAGGAAAAAATGGGCCACTGTTTTTATCCTTAAATGTCTGTTTCCCTATTTACCTGAGAGAAATAATTTTCTTGTTTAATCCTAAACCTGAGAAAATATACTAACTACAGCATAAAATTGGAAACAGTAAAGACATAGCTAAACTGTCAAATGAGTAGTTGATTCCGCAGTAACACTGACAGTTGAAAATATAATGGCCACATTATAACGTAATATCATATAATCTCACCTGCCAGATACGGATAACACAAGCATATGCCATCAAACAGTGTTGCTGATGAAAAGGAGAACTATGACCAGAAACTACAGCCATTAAAGTCTGTGCTCTAAACAAAGCTTCCAATTGTTTAATATTAGTCAAATTTTCCAAATTGATTTGGGGCATGACATCATTTCTTCCAACATCTATCTTCAGATTTTCCATAGGCAATAATTTTTTAATAGATTTTTCTTCTGTTAAAAACGAAAAAATAACATGCCTATATTTGTAGCTATAATAGTATTTTTAAAATTACTCAAAAGTTAAATTTCTAAATTACAAATAAAATGAGAAAAAAAATCATCTACTGAATATGTTCTTCTTATGGCAACGTAATGCTACTTGTACTGTGTTTTAAATTAATAGTGTAACAATTATGCATATTAAATGACAGAAGTTCAACACTGAAATGAAATACACAACAGACACTTTAACTATGTCTTATATGTCTTATTTAACAGGCCACAGTTCCTGCCAGATAACCTATGTGGCTCCTCTCCCTGGGGTCACAGCTCCTGCCAGGAGTCTGCTCCTGTGCAGGCTTTCCACAGACTGCAGCTGCCTGCAGGGCACTTCCACCTCCTCTGGAAGCTGCAGAGTAGATATCTGTTCCAGTGTGGTCCTCCATAGGCTACAGGGGCAAAACCTGCTTCACTACTGGCCTGCAGGGGAATCTCTGCTCCAGTATGTGGAGCATCTCCTCCTCCTCCTTTTCTGACTTTCTGACCTTTTAGCATCTACAAAGTTTTTTTTCTCTCACATTTTTCTTACTGCAGTCTCTCACAGCTGCCACACAGAGGTGTGTTTTTTTTTTTTTTTTAACCCTCTCCTATCTTATGCAGAGGAGCAAACAGCATTCTTCATTGTCTCAGCTCTGGACAGTAGTGGATACCTTTTGGAGCCAGCTGGAACTGGCTCTATCCGACACAGGGCAGCACTCGGTCTCTTCTCTAACAGGCCGCCCCTGCAACAACCTCCCTCCCTCCCTGCCCCAACCATAAGCATTTTGTGATTTGGTAATGAGCGTAGATCTTTATGACACAACACAGAATTCACAGGTGCTTTTAAAATATCCTTGAACAAATGACAGTGCATTCTGGAGAAAGTACTGCCATGCTGCTGCCATTCTTTGTTTGCTAACTAAGTTATAAATTTAAATTGTCCCTTGCATTTGTTACTGGGAAATTTATTTGAATAATATACACATTTACATACCTTCTTCTTGAGAAGATGGCATAGAAAATTTCATATGTAGCAAGAGACCTACTGCCCAATCCAGAGGTTTAATAACATCATTAAGGGGAAACTGGTTACAGTATAACCATTCAGCAAATTCCATCAGGTAATCAACTTTCTGCCATTCATTTTCTTGTTTCTATGAAAGTGATAAAGGAAGAGTTAGTTTATATCTGGTGGTGTAAACCACTGAACTGATATTCAAAAGTTCAATATAGTCTTAATGGAAGCAAAAAAATAATTTGTCACTGAGCAGTTTCATTTGAATCACATAATCAGAGACATATGTAAAACAGAAAGCAACAGAAAACTCTATTTAGTTTATTCTTTGCTTTTTCAAAATTTATTGCAATTAGCTATTCTTAGACTTTTTCTTTGTCAGGACTCAGCTGAACTCTTATGGCCCTCAAAAGGTTCCTCATTTGAGAAGGTGCTTGTGCACTGAAGTCAAGGCACTGAGCCTGAGAGAGTTCAAGAGGTGTTCGGAAAATGTTGTCAAATATATAATTACTAGTCTAATAGTTAGCCCTGCATGGAGCCAGGAGTGGGACTCAATGGTCCTTGTAGATTCCCTTCCCACTAAGGATATTCTATGATTCTATGATTTTCCAACTGAAAAGCAATTTCAAATTTACAAGAAACAATGATCATGTATATGGCCTATATACTCCTTAAATTCTATACTTCTCAATACTTGCTATCTCATTAAACACTTTAAAAACATATTTTTATCAGTATTGGAACTGATAGTAAAAATTCACAAACCTGCAAAGCATTGATTGCATTTTTAAAACAGTTTAACTGTTCAACAATACTTCTGGAAACTGTTACCATATGACGCCAAATACGGGACACATAATCTTCACTTTCACCTGCAAATTTCTGAATTTCCATCATGAAATTACATCCCAATCTTGCCTTTACTGTAGCCAAATGTTTAAAAATCAGACTAGAAAAGGACAAAAACAATTGCACATTAATTGCATCTGTATCTGTAAAGTAACTCGAAGTGGAATAGATATAGTAGTTCAGTGTAGTGCAGAGATGTGTAAGTTCATAAACTAATATAAAAGGGCATAAATCTTTGAACTCATGTAAGACTATATATAAACAGTAGCCTAGATAATTTAGTTTCCATTTTACATTACGTGTGTTTACAGCTAGAAAAATTATAACTTCAGCTACATTTCGTACTCCTATTTTCTTGGAAAAATTAGATAGTACCTGTATACAAGTTTTAGAAAATGACATGTACAAATGTTATGAAAAGATTAATGATAAGAAACACTGCAAACATAAGTCTTTTCACTGAAAAGACACACATGTGTTTTCTGTTATAAGAATTGCCCAGCTGACCAAAAGGTAGTCATGATTTTATTCTGCCAATGCAAAATAGAAAAATAGTAAAAACAGAACTCAGAGTTTTAGAGTTCTCAAGAACCCAAATGCTTATTTTAATAAAAATAAATAAATAACTTACAGCCTGTGTCTTGTCTGAGGCAAAGCCTGAATAGCTTCATTCAGGACTTCTAATGCTTTTTCCCAATCAGATTTATCAGCATATATGTGGAATAATAACCCATATAAAGAAGTCCTTAATGTCAGATCTTCATCAGCACCTTTGAAGTATATTCAAGTCATTTATTACTATACTGCAGAATTAGAACAATGCTATTACAAAATACAGGTTTTTGTTAGTTTGTTTTTAATTATCATATCAAAACAAGAAAGAACGTGCCTGGCAGAAAGCATCCATCTGATAATCCACTACTTTGAAAATCCTTTGTGAGCCACTGATGCAAAGGCAATGTATCATTTTTCTCCTAAAAAGACAGTAGGAACAATGCCCTTTATATTTTGGTACATATCTCAAGTAAGCAAACAACCACTGCCTTGCTGGGCTAAACCAAAAGTTATCTTCAGGTATACATGTATGCTTCTCTAGATATGTGAACAAATTTAAAAACTGCTTAGAGTTAGCCTGATCAAGGATCACTGGATACCAGTTCCTGCCTCTTACAGCAGTTACTATAACATATAAAGAATTAGTAACTCTGGAAATACTCAAATACAGAACTTATTTGAAATATTTTTGTCTAAATAATATCAGAAAATCCTATATAGTCTAATTCACAAGAATTACTATTCTTTACAGATATAAAAAGTCTGGGCTCTCTGTGACTGTACACTTCCATTATCTAAATAAAGGTCTTGACTTTGCATATATCTTATTAAGAGTTTGTTCTGAAAATATCCTGTAGCAGCAAGTTATTTATATATACATAATGAAGTATTCCTTCTTACTGGTTGTTTTTTTTTTTTTTTACTCTGCAAATAAGTAGACCTTTAGAAATGTCCCTATGGGAAATCACAGTGTTAGATATCTTAAAGTTCCTTTAAGTTTACGATCTTCATGTCACTGTATTTCCTCGCACACAGAGTCCTCACAAATTCTGTCTCCTACACACTCAAGCAGACCAGTCACCATCTCTGATTATTAGTGATTTATACATGGCTTGAGGAGAAAGGAAAAATAAGTTTTCTATTATTATACTACAGTACTAGATGATCTGAGATGCAGACTGAGATGTCACATTGGTACCACTGAACTTGAATGCAAAAGTTATTAATAAAATCTTCAAGGTCTAATTCTGCAACCACTGAAGTGCATGGGGAAACTCACATTAGCTTCATTGACATTTAAATCAAATCTAGAAAGAGAGAAATGGATCAGCTCTAGGAATTTTGAAGTACGAACAGTTGTAGATGTGTAGGGATGTTTCAGCAGGAAAAGAAATTTCATGTGATGAGATTTGTTAAAAAATAATTTTGCAGGTAATTTGAATCTGCAGGTGTGAGGAACCTTAATTTAATTCCAACTTTTATGAGTTTGTTTTTTAAGGCCTATTATCATTCTTACTGGAAGTGACAGATTTTTTCTGTCACTTTATCTTTTTTTGATTATTTTCTAAGCATTCCCTTTTGTGAGCTTCACAAAGTGCAACACTACACACATCCAGACCGTAAATTATTTTGAAGAAAACAGCTGCAAGTTTGTCAATTGCCTAGAACCAGAAGAATCACCAAATGGAAAACAAGTATGTGATTCCTTGTTGTGTCTGAATGTGTGCTATGCAAATGAAGATTAGAAAGCATTTACGTGTTTATGATAAGACCTTTTCCTTTTAGGAAAGATATCTTGAAGTATGCACACAGCTTCAGAACAAAGCAAAACTTTTCTTTATCATCAGTACCAATCACTAAACGCATGCATAGTTAACAATATTTATTAGCTATTCTTACCTGTTTATTTTCAGATTCTGCTTTCATTATATTCTTAAGAATTATTTCAGTAGGTTCTTTAAACTGTTCTCTGTCATGTGGAAAACCTAGCAAAGGTAAACATGCGTTCCAAAAGTGTCTCGCTGCAAACATTACAAGGGAATAATTTCCAGCTTCACCTGCATATCTGAAGAAAACAAATTACAGCTTAATGAAGGAAAAAAACCTCACTGTAACAAAGATACAGGATTTTACTTCTGCAAACATCATCTGTGGTTTACCTTATCTAGACAACACTGTATCTCAGCAATGAGGGGTTAGCATATCAGCTTAATACAAAATATATTTTCCATTTTTATATACAAAACACCTCCATACATCCAACAGAAGGAATATTGAACAAGTGTTTGTACTGTATTCCTGCATAACTTTAACTGAAGTGAGACCTGATTTTAAAAGTTAGTAGAAACCTACTTGAGAGGTTCTTTGGAATAACCTACTTTTTTTTTTCTTTTCTTCCTATTATGTTAATTCCTCGTTATAAAAGCATCACACACACAAAAAAAATAAACAAACAAACAAACACAACTCTTCAGTCCTATGGATTTTGCAAAGTACAGAATCACTGTAAAATAAAAATATACTTCAAATGCCTCTACTTGCATGCAAATTGTTTTAAGCACATTCCATGCAAATGTTACTTTTAATTAATAAAATATAATAATTTTCCAGACTGTAATACAACAATAACACACATGAGCGAGCAAAATCTTTAGAATTTAGCTAAAAATTATGGATTGGTATTAAAAAATCAACTAATTAATACTCTTACTATTTTCATAGAATGATAAAATATCCTGAGCTGGAAAGGACCCACAAGGATCATCAAGTCCAACTCCTGGCACCACACGGGAGCACCCAAAAATTCAGACCGTATGTCTAAGAGCACAGTCCAAACACTTCTTAAACCCTGACAGGCTTGGTGCCGTGACTACGTCCCTGGTGAGCCTGTTCCAGTGCACGACCATCCTCTTGGTGAAGAACCATTTTCTGATATCCAGCCTGAACCTCCCCTGTCACAGCTTAATCATTTTTGAATCAGGCAATCTGTCATTTTCTCCCAAAATTTCACAATGTTTAGACTCTATCTGCTCACATGCTGTATATATTCACCCTAGACTTACTAAGTTTTTGCTCACCACTTTGTGTCCCTTTTGACATTTGTTGAGTTATTTGTATATGTCCACTCCCAAAAAAAAGTGCTTGTCATGGTATATAAATTGAAAAAATATGGATTTGTCTGTTCACAACACAACATAACTGTAGAGTTCTGTTACGCTGGCCTTTCCAACTTCATTCATCACTCTCTTTTTAATTATTAAGGAAAAAAAATGATACTGCTAAGGGCTTCACATCAGCCATCACATTTTCATCCTCTAACAGTTTCAATTGCCTACTTTTTTGCTCTTTTTTTTTAATTTTTTTTTTTCCCATAAAGCAAAGAATTTAAAAATCAGGCATTATCCATCCATGTATCACCTTCTTCCTATTTATTACTTAAAGCAATCTTTCCACTTCGGTTTCTAAACTGATAAAATTTATTTTAAATTTACCAAACTGCTAAATTCTGTCAAATCTTTTGTTAAGCATTTAAACTCTCAACTATTTTGATTTTTTATCAGTCTTGGGAAAGAATGATGATCCCCAAATCTTTAAATCAATTTTTTTTGTCTGCTTTGTATTAGTCCCCTCTTAAAACAAAACCTACCTGGCACTCTGAGCAAAGGCTTTTGATGCAGCTATACGCAAATGTTTTTGTCCAGCCAAATTTTCCATTATACTCTTTCCTTGGATACAGGCAGCAGTACTCAACATTTCTTGTCTCGCTGTGTTATCAGGTCTGAATAAAGACAAGTAACTCAAAATGTGCTAGTCTTACAGTCTAAGAACACACCAGTTCCCATTAATAATGCTTTCAAGTTGTTACTAGAGAGATGTTAGTAGCTTTGAAAGTTAGAAAGGCTTCTAATGACTTTTTTCCTACAATCAGAAAATATTTGAAAAATCTGAACACTCTGTGAACAGGTATCAGAAATAAAGTATCTTTTTTACAGTTCTAATGAAAATAAATGTGAACTAAGATTTGAAAAATATTTTACCTACTTCTAGTGACCAAAGAAAATAGATTTGTGATTCTCTCCCCATTATTCACCATTGTACATCAAACAATATAAAAATATTAGATCAGAATGAAATTTACATAGCAAGTAATTAAAAACAGAAATTGGGAAAATCAGACAATTTCAAATACTTTTTTTTTTTTTTCTTGGAATTGGTCTCTCTTATGTCTGGTAAAGTACGGACAGGGTTCTAGAGAAATTGACTTGGATCATACTCTTCTACATTTAAAAGTAAGGAGCAGAGATTTCAATCCCATCAGTTAACTAGTTAAAAACAAACAAACAAACAAAAACAATAACAAAGCAATAATAAAAAATATCTGATATACTTGAATAGAAGTGGTTTTGAAGGAAAATAATACAATAAAGTAATACAATATGGAAGATTTTTAAAAGAAAAGAAAAAAGAAAAAAAAAGAAAAGAGAAAAAAGAACAAAAAAAAAAAGAAAGAAAGAAAGGGGAGAATTCACCTTTACTAAACTGGCATTTCTCATTTCTAGTTGGCTTAGTTCCTACCGCGCAGTGAGGGCTATTATGCAGTTATGATTTGTGTCCACAAGAGGACACCAGTGTTCTACAGTACAAGTTAACAACAACAACAACAACAAAAAAGTAGTATCTAAGCCTTCTTTGTCCTTAAGTTGTGCTTTAACGTGAAAAGAATGGAGACGTTCATCTTCCATTTTTCTGGAGATAATATTGACAACCCACAACTCAACTTCTTGGTCAAAGAAGGAAACATTTTACATTTTAACATTCACCAGTTTCAGATTGCTAAATATTCATTATTTTCTCTCTATAATATTTTTAAATTATATGTTCCATATTTTAAGATGTTTTGGAGAGAAAAACTGGTTTTAAATGTTCTTCTCCCATGAAATAAACAACCATTAATTTCAAAGAGCAGCATTGTTTCCCGGACATCTTCACAGAGAGAAAAATGAACACATAAGTATATTCAAAGTATTTATCATATTCATTTCAAACTTCCTGCATTCTGATTTTTTTTTTTTTTTTTTAAATAATTGCTGTCAATTCCCTCTTGTTTTGATGAAATTACATTCTGTTTTTGGGGGGGTAAAATCGTATATAAGCAGAAAGATCTAAGGACTCCACCAACAGATCCTCCTATATAGGAAACCTTTTTTCTTTTTTCCTTTTATTCCCCACAAGATCAAAGCTTTAAATTAACAGTCCAGTAAGACTCTGGGCTTTTTAAGAAATGAATTACACTCCTATTGCTCCCACATACAGAATTTATAAGGGAAGCCTGCTACCTGGGGATACCTGACACCAGAAATTAGAAAACAGTAGCTGTTATCACCTGTTATCACTCACAGCATCTTCTTACATGAACTGTGTAGACCCTTCATGTATTATCAGAAGCAATTTTCATCAATGTATTAGAATAAGTTACTTTCTGCTTGGAAACTACAAAAGCACGAAAAGACTGTGACTGCCACAAACCAATTTCAGAAAAGCACTGCTCATCAGGAAGACACTCAAACACAAGTATATAACCTGTTGAGTCACTTGGATTACAAAATTCACTTATCTTCCTGAACTGAGTCCAGAGACACAATCTGGATCTCACACCATCTTCTACTCAGGCTACACTGTAGAGTTAAAACATTATCTGTAGTACTTAAGTAATTGCTAATGACAAAATCAGGAGTGGTAGGAAAATTTCACTTTCTGTACAGTTTCTTTGTAAATAAATAAATAAATAAATTTCTCTCAATTTTGATTAAGTAGTCAGATGCATTTTCCCTATATATTCATTCTTCAAAATTTATATCAAGTATACCACATTATAATGCAAAATTCAATGTACTTACATTTCATATTTCTTGGTACCGCTATTGTGAAAAAAATTATTAACTGACTGCAATATCCTTTGGGAACAAGTCATCACTATTTCGTAGTCATGTAATACATACGCAAAATATGTAAGTCGTGTCAGTGTCTGCAGTTCTACTAATGAATCTGACCAGCTGCATTCTAAAGCCAATTTCACTAACTGGAAAAAAAAAAAAAAAAAAAGTAAAACAAAAATAAATCTTGTGTTTCTGCCATGCCCTTTTCATACATAATACTTACTTATCCTCACAACAGCTTACTCATATACAATCAGATTACATTCTTCCAGATGTACTTTTCATACAACCCACCTTGGCATGGAACAAGTAAACAATAAAACAATCTAGAAAACCAAAGATTTACAAGAAAAATCAAAATAGGCAATAAACATATAATCAACATTTACGCTGCAGTAAATATTGTAAAAGCAAATGTAAACCCAGCTATAAATATGCTGAATACCACTGAAATAATAGCTAAAGCTAGCTAATAGTATTTGGCAGAAATCTGCAGACCAATTGGAATTGCATACCTATATCTTTATAAGGACTGATATCCTGGTCTTTAGAGAGAAGCATTTCTACAGAAGTGTTGGACAATGTCATCAGATTCCTAGCTATCGAAGGAAATATGCCTTAGTCTTTTAAGAAACCCATTTATAACAGGAAGTATAAATGATTAGGTGTAGTAATCAGACAGGTAAGACATCAGCTCATAGTTTTGAAAATGAATGATTTAAACATTTTTATACTACCTTCATTCCTCCAGACTGGTAATCAACAGAAGCAAGTGTTTTAATGAACTATGCTAGCAATGTAGCTCTGTCTCATATAAGTCTTACAATAAAGCCACCTAATTCTTTAAATAACAGGTAGTTCTACCCCATAACTGCCAAAAGGAAATTCACAATAACATGAAGTTCTCTGTTGAAATTTGGAATGCTCCCAATACAAACCCTAAGATAAGACTTTATCTTCTCAATAAAATAAAATAAAAGTCCCAAGTATGGTTCTGTACAGAATGCATCCGAACCCATTATGTTCATCAGATTGTTATGATAATAACCTGTTAGAGCAACGTAGGAATAATTGTAATACTGGTTTTTAATGCTTTTTCTTTTTTGTATAAATGAAAATAGTTACACAATTTTTCTACCTGTTGTAATTACTCAATCTCTTGAAAACTTTGAAAGTAAATAATAAAAAGTTTCAACATAATATGTATAAGTAATATATATTATGTATGTACTTCATATATATAACAATATAATAGAAGTTTCAAATTAAATTTTGTCTGTATTCAAAACCAAAACTGAAATCACATGCTCTTTCTCAAAAAACAGAGCTAATAAAATAAAAGGAAATACCTGAGATAAAGCAGGAACTGTGAAATCCATGAGACCCAAGCCAGTACATGAATACATTTCTAGACCAACAAGAATTCTTGCAATAGGATTTTGTGCTTCATCACTACTCTGAGCAGAAATTAAAATTTATTTATTTATTTATTTATTTTTACTACCATTGTTAATGCTGAACTACTACAGTATCACCAAAAATACAGCAACAATATAATTAATTCACATTCCATACTCTGGTATTATAGACATATTTAAAATTAAAAGATTGGAATAAAATATTATTTTTCAAGTTACTGAATCGACAGTCTCCATATAAAGAGTTCATACTAAATGTTAATATAAACATAGCTGATATTTCAGCTACAGGCAAAAATTTTCTGTCACATCAAATTAAAATATATACAAGAAATACACACTGATAATTTAATCATTATTAAATAAATTAAGCATTTAATATTAATTTTTCAAAGAAAAAATTAACTTATTGTAGGATTTCAGAGAAATAATACCTCCTCCTCAGTCCAAAGTTTATGTCCTATCTGTTGCTGATTTAACTGTTTTGCTTTCACCCATGTAGCAATGATCTGTTGTTTTACAGCAACAGGTACTATTTCATTAGGTATGGTTCCACTTGTCACATTTAGAGCAAATTCACAAATCTAAACAGCAAGAAGAAAAAAAGACTGAAACTTAAGGCAAATTTGAACAGCTCTTTTTATGGAAAATGTTATCCATTAGTTATTCTACAATTTCTGTGCATGCATCTCTAATACTAATAACATCTCCATAAATAAATCCATACAGCGAATAAAAGCTGCAGTCTTCGGATTCAATTGACAAGGAACTTCAGTGCATATTTGGGGAGAACCTGTGATGGCAGGAACCATAAAAGATGGTAGTTTTTCTGCAAGAATCTCTGGAATTTAAATTTCTATGAATCATAATACATGTCAGCATATTTAAAAAAAAAAAAAAAAAGACAAAGTGGATTTTGTACCTCTAAGGCTGCTTTGATGTCAGGAAGTCCACTGGGATCTACTGACAAAGAAGGGATAGCATTTGCTTTCTCATGTCCCTTTGCTGAAGCCTTTCTACTTTTGTCTGGTGATGCACATAACTTTTTCTCCTCAGTACGTTTTGGTTTTGGAATCCAACAGAGAATTAAGCCCCGAGCTACAGCATTACATAACATCAACAAAGTGACAGTGCTTCTGAAGAAGAAAAAAGAAAACTTAAATGCAAACTGCATCAGACCAAAATAAGTGAAACAAATAAAGTCATGAGCACTATTCAAAAATCTAGATTTTTCTTAGAAAACAAAATTATGGATTTTTCAAAATTTCCCTGTTGGAAATGCAGTTAAAATGGTTAAATCTACTCTCCCTCCTCCCCCTCTCTCCAATAAAAACTTTCATATTTTATATTGCATTTTTTCAGGTCTTTCTGTGATTGAAGCTTCTATTTCTTCACAGAAAAAGGTATCTTTTCAAATTTATTTCAGAGGTGAACAAATTTAAAATCTCACTTTTTAGTAGTGAACTGTTACGTGTGAAAGTGGAAAAGGTTTCCTAATAACCTACACCAAACTCTTTACATAAAATCATTCGTTACTCTGTATTACTCCTTATGATAATCAACCTCTGAGATGGAATTACTTTTTTTTTTTTTTTTTTTTTTTTTTTTTTTTTTTTTTACAGACAACACAAACTGAATTATGATACATATTAATATAAGTGCCCGGATTAATAAGTAGGTATTACCTGTTTTCATCTCTGTACAAACTGAACTTTAGGCCTTGACATGCATGTTAAAAAAATCATTCTTTGCTGTTGGTCCTCTCAGTTTGTCTAGTTCTGAAGTCACTGCCAGTAAAAAGTGCTAAAAGTTCTAGGGTTTTGTCCGACAGAACTTTGACTTGAGTATTCCTCTGGAATAGTTAATTATTCTGCCATTGCATTTGCTACAGAACAGAATTCCTCTGTGAAGTCTATTTTTGTGGTCAATTATTGAACACATTCCCTTTACTTTCTTTTTTCCTCCTTTGTTTTGTATTTCAGAACTTACTGTGATTAGAAATATTTACAATAAACTATATTTACTATATAATTCAACTTCAGAGTAACTGAGAGCAAGTAAACACATTTCAAGCTCCTGCCAACAGAAAGGCTACAAAAATTTTCTTGATTCTTTCTGAGCAGGTCAACAAAATTGACACATGCACTATTTCACATGCACATGTTGCTATTCCATAATTAAGAGGAATTAACATAATTTTAACTCAGGTTAATATGGATTATAATGAACAGAAATAAATAGGATTAAAACCTCACTTTCCAACCACAAAATTTAATATAACTTCTAAAGTATTCTGTATATGCTGACGTCCTTCTACTTCTAATAAAAGCCAGCAATAACATTCTTTCATGACATAAACTAATATTGTGAAAATATTTTTTCTGTTATAGAAACAAGACCATGTTTGTAACCAAAACTCTAAATTTACCCAGTGTGCCCAACAGTCTTGACTGCTCCAAGAAGAGTCTGCAGATACGCAATAATTTCCCTCTGTCTTCCTGATGTGATAAGATGCCTATTGTAGTTTAAGATATACACCACAGCATTATGAACAATCCAGGCTTCATTCAGTTCTTCTCCTATTTCAGCTGCACGCAGGAAATTTTCCATAGCATACCGAGATAAGTAGTCTATCCATGAACTATAAAATTAGTATTAAGAAACTGTTATTCCAAAAGTACAACACTAGAAGGAATTATATCTTAAGGCTAAATATGTAAAAGTAGAACTGAATCAACAAAAAATATATATTTTTGGAAATTACTTTTCAGTTGCATTTATTACATCTCTATCCATTAACTTATAATTGGATGACAAGATGTCTCAGGAAAGTTATTAGTATCAACATCGACCAGTCTCTGATACTCAAATGCTATTAGCTTAAAAATATTGGCTCTAACGTAAATTTCACAGTTCATCCACACTTTTTAAACTGTGTGTGAATCACTGCTAGAAATCATTAAATATCTATGGCAAAGCTCTACTTGAATAAAAAGTAAGACATTCCACTCTAGTGTTGAATGAGATATCTTTTTTACAACCTCATGTCTTCTTGCACTCAAAGACATCTCCAGATGTTCTGAAATGCTAAGTCCATTTTTTATAAAATAACATTCCATAGTCAACACAATAACATTCTTTTATGTACAAATTAATTATCAAGATATATATCACACTAGATAAAGCAATACTGAAAACATCATCTTGTATGATCAGACAGAATGACCTTGGTTAAGTCACAAATTCAAAAAAACATAAACTGACATAGGGTATTACTATGTCACCAACAGTAGACAACATAGTAGACCAAAGTGATTTTTTTCCCTATGTGTTCTTAGCCTAATTGGATGAAAGAGACACTGGTACAAGTAAATTGGTTAAACTCAAAAACAGCTTCACAGCGAATTTTAGAACAGAATCTTCATCTTCTTTGTCCCTTGTTTCTGATTAGATTTTACTTTTTCATATTTTACTGAGCATTTGAAGCTGACTGCGAGAAACTTCACTTCATCTTCAGACTTAATGAAGAGCCTTAGGGACACAACTCTGATAACCTGCTCTTACAGGACATGATGACCATTGTGACAACAGTTAATACTAGTACAAATGTAGTAGAGTTTAAATATCATATTTAAAATTCTCTCTCCCTCTTCCTTCACAATAAATAATACTGTGAGACCAAAAGAAAGAAACAGAAACATAAAAAGAAGGAGAAGGAGGAGAAGGAGAAGAAGGGTACACTAGCTTCTGATTTCAGAGAAATAAACATTAAATGAAAAACAAAACAAACATTGCAGAATGAAAGCAAATTAGAGAAAAATTATTTCAAAATATTTTTTAGATTCTTCTTTTCCCACTACCATTCCTAGCTAAACATATGAACTATCTGATAACAATCAGAGAATCATTAAAGTTGGAAAAGACCTTCGAGATCATCTGGTCCAACCATCACCCTACTGCCAATGTCCCCAAGCACCAGGTCCAACCTTTCCTAGAACACCCCCAGGAACGATGATGTCGCCACTTCCCTGGGTAACCTGTTTCAATGTCTAACTACTCTTTCTGAGAAGAAAAATGATTTGTACTAAAAAGAAATAACTTAGTAAATTATCATCTGTGTTTGATAATAAAACAATTTGTTAGAGTTGGTAAGTACCTGTATGCTTTCCATTCTAGATCACTTTCAGGAAAATCTAAAACATATTCTGAAGGATGTTGGCTTTTATCTTCTGTAGGTACAGTGTGGTCATTCAGCTCAAGTCCCTGCAATCTTAATAAATGAATCGTTGCCTGGAAAGATACAAAGAAATACATTTTCTACCTGTGTTATCTACGTGAAAATGGACTCTGACTTCTTATTTGTGTCTACACCTCTTGAAAAAAGAAAAAAAAAAAAAAGTTTTTGTTGTACAACATCTGAAGATGTACAGGCATACAAAACCAATTATATGAAATAATCTTCAAATTACTTATGCTTAATTTTATTAAATAAATAACTCAAATGAGAAAAAGAAAATATGCCATATATATACACACAACTATATTTATCATGCTGGAACTTTAAGGATCCTGGAACATAATGTCACATGTCAAATATTTACAACAACATCCCTTGTAAAAAAGTGTTAAAACCATATGCAGTGATACTATAGTTACTTTCACACAGTATTTTTATACAGATGCTTCACAGAACTACTTCCTCTAATGTCTGTGGAGACATAATGAATCTAACTCAAAATTCTACTGCTGTAAGATGAATATTCCTAGAATTAGACATACAACCAAAGCTAAATGAAACAAATATGAGTAACATCTGTGTAGGTTGATTACCTCTGCATTAATAAATCTTATTTCTGCTAATATTCTGAGTAAATCTCTTTCAAAAGAAAAGGACTTAGCAGGTAGTAATAACTCTCCTGGTAAGCCATCATCTTGGTCATCATCCATCATAGTTATACTAGCTTTCTTCTTCTGTGCTAAAAAAAAAAAAAGTTACATTATTATTAACACGTAAATCTGACAAAAATTACCTTAATTTTAGAATTTAAATATCCCTATATAATCCGAAATCCACAATAAAGCATTCACAAGCACAGATTTGAAGTTACTTCACTCAGACTACATCTCAAGTTTAATATTCAGTGATAGATCTAATTTATTAGTCTTTGTCCAATAATTTTAATCATATTTCAATATTCCAAAGTAACATTTTAGTTTAAGTTGAAAATTACATGTTTTTGTTTTCTTAAAACCTACAGACTGTTAATTTGAATGAAGAGCTCCTCATTCCTTGAGCAATCATACATATTCACTTTCCCCAGACTAGCCGTGTTTCATCTCTCATCTCTTTTTCAAACTAAAGGAAAAAAAAAAAGTACTTATCAGGAACTCAGGGCAACCATGCACCAAAAGCATCATTAATAGGACCTGGCATATATCTGTAACACTATAGCACTTTGAATTATTTGCTTTTATTCAGGCCTGATAATACAGCAAGTCTTTTTCCAGGATCTTCATATTGCCCAAATTATCTTTGCCCTATCTTCAGTATATGTCACATACAGAGAAGACCTTCAATTTTTCTCACCCACTATTCCTAGGATTAGAAGTAGTAAAGGATGAAACATAACACAAAAATGAATGTTGCCAACAGTCCAAGTGCAAGGTGCTGCACCTGGGTCAGGGCAATCCCAGATATGAGGGCAGACTGGGAGAAGAACTCATTGAGAGCAGCCCTGCAGAGGACTTGGGAGTTCTGGTGAAGAAAAGGTTCAACATGAGCCAGCAGTGTGCACTTGCAGCCCAGAAGGCTGTGTGTGACCAGCAGGTCGATGGAGGTGATTGCCTCCCTCTACTCTGCCCTTGTGAAGCCCCACTTGAAGTACTATCTCCAGACCTGGAGCCCCAAGCACAAGAAGGATGTGGACCTGTTAGAGAAGGTCTGGAAAAGGGCCACAAAGTTGAACGGAGGACTGGAGCACCTCTCCAATGAAAAAAAGGCTGGAAGACCTGGGGCTCTTCATCCTGAAGAGGAGAAGGCTCCGTGGAGACTTCATTGCGACCTTTCTATACTTAAAGAGGTCTTATAAAAAAGATGGAGAAGGACTCTATTTGGGTAGACAATCCCCTCCCTCACCTCTTTTGATGCAGCCCAGGATGCAGTTGGAATTCTGGGCTGCAAGCACAAACTGCTGGCTCATGTCAAGCTTCATCCACCAGAACACCCAAGTCTTTTCTCTGCTAGGCTGCTCTCAATGAGTTCATCCAGTCTGTACTCCTGTCCGGGATTGCCCCAACCCGGGTGCAGCACCTTGCACTCAGACTTGTTGAACCTCCTCAGGTTCACATGGGCCCACTGTTCTAGCTTGTCCAGCTCCCTTTAGCTGGCATCCCTTCCTTTTGTTGTATTAACTGCACCACTCCACTTGCATCTGCAAACTTGCTGAGGAACAACTAAGAACACTGATAATGATCTCAAGAACACTAAATAATGATCTTAAAGGTCTTTTCCAACCTAAACGATTCCACGATTCTATGCTTCTAAATATACATACTTTAACTAGCTCAGGCCCAAAGCTTATATTTAATAGCATCACCTCATAGCACTGTCATTGAATTATCATGAAAAGTGAAAATAATTTCCAAACCTCTCCTTCCTAAGCTTTTCTGCAGTTGTTAATTTCTGAGAGCACACATTGCCTTCTACATTTCTAAACTTTTTGAAAACAATGTGCACAATATTCATTGGAACACCATACCTTTACACTGGCTTACTCCTTCAAGTGACTCTAATAAAGGAGGAGAAAGTTCACTTTATGACACTCAAAATAATGTTTTCACTTACTTTTTTTAGGTTTTGTTGCTCTCCTAAACAAAGTGTCATCATACAGGAGACAAAATCTGCATGCTGTACGGCAGACATCCCACACTTCTTGTGTACGTGCAACTTTTGCCAAATTTGCCCAAAGTCTAATTCTATCAAAGAAAAAGCATATGTAAGATTACTTTATATCCAGAATTATCTTCCACACTTTAGAAACCACAAAAATTATGTCAATTTTGATGGCCACCACAAATAAGATTTTTAATCTAGTAAACATTACTACGTGGAAGAGTTTTTATCAGTAACAAAGATAACACTATTACTTTACTCACTTAAAAAAAATACCCTCAGCTTATCAAGATTGCAAGAAAAAATATTTTGGAGAATAGCTGTACTGAAACTTTTAAAATGTGTTTGTGACATATCCCTAATTATCTATCTTATAAAAAATAAACCAAATTAAACCAAGTATTTCAAAAGCAATGCTGAGAATTTCAAAATGAGTCTTTAATACAAGTTTGGATTTTGAATTGTTTAGAAAAACACTGTTTAGATTTCATTCCAGGATTTTTTTTAATGCTGCAAACAAAACAAAACAAATAAAGAAAAACAAACAACAACAAAATTGTTTATAAAATAAACAATAAAATTATATAAACATGCTGAAAACAAAGTCACACAGAATCACAGAAAGGTTTAAGTTGGAAGAGACCTCTGGAAGTTACCTGGTCCAATCCTCATGCTCTAGCAGGGACAAAGCTATGATTTTCCTACAGATCAGTATTTCTGACACTCAGAAAGGACTGTGTGGTTTATCAGAAAATATGTAGCATGCAAAGTGGTACAAGAACCAAAAAAGACGCTTCAGCAAATTTTCAGCTATGCATCAAGTTATTCAGCCTTAATCCACCCATTCTTCTGTGTGTCCAGTTTCTATCAACAGAATAGGTGGTAGGGGGAAGGTTGCACCAGATGATATTGGAGGTCTTTTCCAACCTTAATGATTCTATGATAAGAAATTCCCTTATTAGACACTTCTACGCAAAAAGTGGTAATTTCTGTGGTAATTACCTCTCTTTGTCATTTTCCTTTTTTAGGTGTTTCAAATGTCCATCAACTTTGTCCACACTTTTAACATGATGTTGTGCTTTTGCACAGAGGTAACTTACTTGACTCTGACTATAACCTGAGGACACTTACAAAGAAATAAGAATTTAATGTAATTTTTTAAGTACCAGAGTTGAAACAAATCTAAATGAAAGGTATGCATTTTGATTCACAACTACTTTCTGAAACTCCTGAAATCCAGTCCTTTTTTCAATCCCTCAATCTTTCCCAACGCCAATCAAAATGAAAAAAACACACCCGACTAGCATCTATTCTGTTTTTAATTTATCTGCATAGATAGTCTCCCCATATAAAAATGGATTTATGTTTTTTTAGCCCCAAGGTCTCTTTTCTGACAGGACATGCATTGCTCTAATTAAGCTTCAGTCAAAAGGAAAGTGATGTAATATATGGAATGTTGCATTCTGGCTGCATTTTAAGAACACTAATCCAATGAAATACGTTTTTGCTCAGTAGCAAAATTTGTTCTTTGTGTTTTTGTTTTTTTTTGTTTAAATTTGAGAATAATGACTTTTTTTCACGTAGTCAACCAGATATAGTTATCTAGGAAAAAGTATTAAACAGAAATAACCAACATAGAAAAATGACACAAGGGAGGAATGAGCTGCCCTCCTGAGGTAGAAAATTACTCCAGTGATACAGAAAAATCAAAAAGAGATTTTTTTTTACTGTAATGACATAGAGGAGATGCTATTTATTAGAATACAAATAACTTGATATGATTATTCGGGAAATCAATATTCACTTGAATCTAAGCCATGGTTGCTAATATTACTTAGACTAAGTTTTCTGTTTCAAATGAATACTGGCTGGATTGCTGAGATCAAAGGGTATTTGCAAATCGAGTTAAATCCAGCTGGCAGCCAAGTGGCCATAGTGGCGTTCCCCAGGGGTCCGCATTAGGGCCAGTTTTGTTTAATCAATGATCTTGATGAGGGAATCATTTAATCTTGATGAGGGATAAAATTGTAGACAACACCAAGTTGGGCAGGAATGATGATCTGTGAGAAGGTAGGCAGGCTCTGCAGATGGGTTTGGGTAAGCTAGATTTATGGACCACATCCATTTGTATGGCATGCAACAAGGCTAAATGCCAGGTGATGCACTTGGGTCATTACAACCCCATGCAGTGGTATAGGCCTGGGGAAGAGTAGCTGGAAAGCTGCCTGGAAGAAAAGGAGTTGGGGATGTTGTGTTGATCAATAGCCAGTTGCACATGAACCAGCTGTGTGCTCAGGTGGCCAAGAAGACCAACAGCATCCTGGCTTGTATCAGAAATAGCATGGCCAGAGGTACTATGGAAGTGACTGTCCCTCTGTACTCTGTACTTGACACACCTTGGGCTGGGCTCCTCACTACATAAAGATATCGAGTTTCTGGAATACATTCATAGAAGAACAGCAAAGCTGCTGAAGGGACTAGAAAATATTCCTGGCTTTAAAACGTGAATATAACTGAAACTGCTTAGACATATTTACGTTGAAATGAGGAAGGTATAGTTTCTTATAATTTTTGTTTAAAATACTTTGCAATGCATATGACAGAACTGTTACTTAACTACACACCCAGATTGACAGACAGAAATTTTTCAGCATTAATACATGACAGCAATATCATAGAATTATATTCATTTTTCATTCTCTAATTTTTGCCACAGAATTCAGTAAACTTGTCACTCTATTTGCGCTGTAATATTCCCCACATATTGCCACTATATGTTATGTCCGTTCTTTGAGGTTGGGCAAAGCAGTAAAAGTTAAGTGTCGTAATTTTAGCCACACACATACATTACCTTTAGCTTCATTTTCACTATCAAGAACCACCTGAAATAAATCAGGAGCTAGTGCAAGACCAGCATTTACCAGAAGGGATCTCTTTTGCCTCACATTATTCTTTTCCTTTCCCCTTTTAGCCTATGTAAATAAAAGAACTAAATGTTACAAGGTTCATTTAGACCTATTAAAATGCTATTTACATTTTTATTACATTAATATATCTTACTTACTAAACATGTAAGAATGTAGATCATAGACTTTGGTATCTTGAGCCAATACAATACAGGAATTGTTTATCTTAGCATATCTTAAACAACATCCTGCAGTATTATTACTCTATATACCTTATTGTATGACCTGTCTTAATGTTGTATTTCCTTAAATAAAGAATAGTATTTATTTAGAAACCAAAAATAACATACCTGTCGTGCAATAATTAGGACTCACTATGAAATATAAAAAATCCCTAGTGTACCCAGAATTAGCTTAAGTCAGAGGAAAATTAAGTGCTTTCTTTAAAAAATATTTAAATGGAATAAGCTTGTGTGAAAAAAAAAATAATAAACTAGAATAAACTACACCAAAACTCTGTCATAACAATAATATAACAATCATACCAGCAGCTTTCCAATACTGCTTTTTAGGTTCAATGAGCATATCTCAATTTCTGTGAATATCCCCAAATGGTGTATAGGTGAAATTTCTTTTAGCAAACTACCAAATCAGTTGCCAATATGAATTTTGTTCATGTGCTGAAGGCATCACAACAATTATCTCAATTTCTGTGAATATCCCCAAATGGTGTATAGGTGAAATTTCTTTTAGCAAACTACCAAATCAGCTGCCAATATGAATTTTGTTCATGTGCTGAAGGCATTGCAACAATTAGATGTAATAACTCTTGAAAATGACTACACTGTGACTTTAGATTGTATTACTGGATTTATTATCTGTATTTTCTCACATTTTAAAGTGTGATATAATACTGATTTATCTTCAGTCCAGATGGGATATTCAGCTATTTGGCCACTGCTCCTCTCATTATTTATAAAAATGTTCCACACAATGAAATTTTAATTGTTGACAATTCTGAACATGCAAAACAGTAACACTGAGTTTCTTTTTTGCAGATGAGTATTTCTGCCAAAGGATAATGCTTTTTCATTTTTTTCATAAACAGGTGGTTTGAACATAATTGGAAAAAATCCTCCATCATAACCATTAATCTTCAGAGTATGAAGCAGTGTGATGACCAGAGGGAAAATCCAGAGAGCTTTCAAGGCAACAAACTAATGTTGCTGAAAGCAAGCCCGTGTTAGCTCTACTAATATGCAGTTCTACTAAATGGCTAACTTTTCTCTGCCAGAATTTAATAAGCAAACCTATTTCAGCTACTAATCTTATTCTGTACGATTACCTGTTCAATCATCATTAGCGCCTGATCCTCTAGACGCTCAGGAGACTTATACAGCATAGCGTACAAAGAAAGACGGTTAAAATTCAATCTTAGATGTTCTTGATACTGCCCACTGTTATCTAGATGTATAGCTTTCTGTAAATGTTGCACAGCAATCTCAATTCTATCCTCATCTTCTTCAATACGAGCAATTTCCATGTGAACTTGGCAACGTAAAAAAATCAGCATGCTATGGAATAAAAATTCAAATGTAATCTGTTAAATGGAGCAAACTAAAATTGTTAGACCTAAAAATTAACCAAAAGCACAACCCAGTAATAAAAAGTGACAATAGTATGAAAATATACTCCATTTTTGACTTAATGTTTCTTTCATTTTCATTATCATGTCTTTGTAACGAAATGATTATGAAAACTTGTTGTGGTTTAACCTGGCTGGCAGCTAAGCACTACATAGACATTCACTCACCCTCCCCTGTCCCTCTGGGATGGGAGAAGAGAATCAGAAAGAAATGAAAGCCTGTGGGTTGAGATAAAGACAGTTTATGGGGACAGAAAAGAAAGGAAAATAATAATAACAGTGATAACAGTACTACTACTAATAGTGTGTACAGAACAAGTGATGCACAATGCAATTGCTCACCACCCGCTGACCAATGCCCAGCCTATCCCCAAGCAGCCGGTCCCCCCAACCCAGCCAGCCACCCCATATTAATTGTTCAGCATGATGTGATATCATATGGGATATCCCTTTGGCGAGTTTGGGTCAGCTGTCCTGGGTCTGTCCTCCCCCAGCTCCTGCTGTACACCCAATCTCCTCACTGGCAGGGCACTGAGAGAAGCTGAAAAGCCCTTGGCTTAGTGTAAGCACTTCTCTGCAACAATTAAAACATCACTGTGGTATCAATATTATTCTCATCCTAAATCCCAAGCACAGCAACATACCAGCTACAAGGAGGAAAATTAACTCTATCCTAGCCAACACTAGGACAAAACTCAACTGCATTTTACTTGTGAACGCCGCATGAGAAAACAGCCAAAAGGAAGCAACACATCTTGTAAACTGACTGATCTTTGTGTTTTAGCAGAATTATTCCTTAATACCACACTTCCCATTCAGAAATGCCCACTTTGGTTGACAGATGAAGTGACTGGATTTTTAACCTGCTTAACTTCTAGCAAGGGCATGATTGACACTTTTGATAATACTTCACACTCTAATGATAACATATAAGTAGAAGCTTCTAAAAATCTAGTCCTGATTGCAGTTTCTTACCACTTTTATAAATGCAGCTCATGACAGGTGTACATACTCACTGCAGTCACTGCCTTTGCCCAGACTGCTGAAAACCACTCCATGAAGTCAATACATTTTCACTGAAAACTGCATGCTCCCCAGACTTGGGTACATTACACTTCCAATTTACCACCTGCCTGAGGAAGCTGTTCATAGCAGCTGTAAGCTATAAATTATTTTAGATTACTTCCAGGCAAAAATAGATAGATAGATAGATAGATAGATAGATAGATAGATAGATAGATGAAAGCAATGTTAGGAAAAACAGAACAGAAGGAGGGCTTTCAGTGCCTCTAGGATATCAAATGTCTTGCAAAGAACTAATGTGTGCCTACATTAGAGTAAAGCTGACTGAGCAGCAAGTATTGCCCTTATGCTGCTGACCAAAGTAGTTAGAATTAAAAAAGTGGTGTTAGTACAAGAACCTATATTCCAACACATTTACATGAATGGGACCTATACTTAAACAACTAATGAGGAAATGTACACAGTATATGCAGATGTTAACTTGTTACAAGCTAGAGCAAAAATTTTCAGACTCTTCACATCATACAATTTGAGTTTTTATGAGTTTGATGCCATGTTTAAATTGCTTCTTAGTTCTTTATTATGAGCTGTATTTTCTTTTCAGTCATTAGAGATTTCAAAGTAACTGATAAGAATGTAAACAGCATAAAAAGCTACCTGTCAATCTCTTCAAGGACATCAGCAACTGCTATCAAAGGTTTTCGCACATGTTGATGCAAATTTTGTTGTAGTAGTGGTAAGCACAGATTCCACTGGGTTGTGCAAACAACCTGAATCACATAAGGATCTCCCAGCTGAACCGCATGTTGCAAGGTTAAATCAAGATTTTTAATCAATTTCAGCTGAGCCTACACAAAAGAAAAATTGCTTAGCATATACTGCATTTAATGAATACATCTTCTTACATACTCCTCTAAATTCTAAATTTAGGCTCCTACTTTTGATGCTCTAAATTATAACCAAGTCCACTGACTATAGAAATCTAAAAAAAATCCTTCCCAGTGTGACAATTTGTCAGGAATAACCCAAATTTTTCAGAAATAATAAGATTGCCTTTAATATGCAATAATACATCTTCCATAAATGTAAAATATGAAAAATTATAGTATTGCCTTTGCATGTTTCAATGCTACCATCTTTACTCTTAGAAATTAATATATTATGAATCTTCATTATCAGACTGAAGACTTAAGAAAGGAATATATGACTATTGTTTATTTCTCTGTTTTATTCTTGCCAGCCCAACTTCCTGCTTTCTTCTTGGAAGACCAATCAGAAAGAATATAATGCTTAAAGCAATTTCTGATCAGTGTAATGGAATTAAGACACACAAGTCCAGTGCAATTTGCATATTTCACAAACTAAGCCTTTTATTTTTCTCTCAAATCTAAAGAACATACCTCAACAACTCCTTTGGTATAAGTCACTATTTTAGGGCCAAATTTTTGAATTTCATATTCACATTCCAGGCATTCTACTTCAATAAGTTTCCCTTGTTCCTATGAAGGATTGATACAAAATGCTGATTTTAATAATTAAAAAGGAATATGATTCAGACTAAAACAATGCAATGATGCTAATACTGCATTGTAATACCTTTTTGAAAATCCAACTGTACTAGCTAATTAATTGAAACACTAAAAGAGGGATTAGAATTTGTTATAGCATAGTGTTATTAAGATGGTATATTATTGGAATAAACAAGAGATAGTTGAGACAGTAATGAATAATCTTAATGGGTTGTGCAACTTGTAAGTGAAAGTCACTTTAACACCCACTACTTCTAATGGAGATGAGAAGGTTGGTATAAAAGCACGCCTTCTCTACTGCTGCCACTGAAGGGTTACTTGCTGTTACTGTCTATAAAAATATTGAAACTAAATCCTAATGAACCCTTGATCTAGAGAATTTAAACACATTCTAGGTGAATGCAATTTAAACACGTTCTAGGTGAATGCTATGTAACTGTGTACAACCTCAGACTTGTTGGAATTTTTCAGAAAAAAAAAAAAAAAAGTGAGGGGCCTGAGGCAGACATCTGGAATGAAAAATTGCAGTTAGGATAAGTAAAATCTACATTACAAGTAACTCACAATAGGATCATTACAACAGAAATATGGACTGGTATGTTTGGCAGTATTTGCCATTACAATTTCATTACATACACTTGAATATTTCAGGTAAGTAAGGACTTACATGGGCATCACAACACTATTGGGCACTTCTACATACTATTTTTTTTTTTTCCTGAAAAACTTACTTTTTATCTGAATACAGGGGTGAACAGTTCTGCTTATCAACCAAGAAGGAAGTGAAAAAATTGCAGAGCTAGGTGGACATAAGAATCAAAAAAGGATATACACATTGAAAGACCAGTTATTACAGAGACCACACAAAATTTCCATCTAGGAATGCATCTAGTAATAATGATATTAATCAGTATATAAGCAATGCAGAGAAGAAGACAGAAGAACCCAGAACCATCAGCATTATTTTTAAAGTAGAATCATTGTCAAAAAAAAATCATTTCTAATTAATACTTACAGTAATGCCAGCTTTCTTCAATTCAAGTATACAATCATGTGTAAGCTTAATGCAGTTTACTTTCACAGAAAAACGAGCCAATTCCAGGATCAAAGGAATTCTTCAAAAACAGAAAAACATCACTTCAGAGAATCACACACTCCTCTTTAATGAAATCAGAAAAACATTATATGAAACTAATTTTGTGCAATATATCTGAAACTCTTGAAGATATCTGAATATTAGAAGATGTGATTTTACCAGTAATGCTCGCAGTCAGTAAGGAAAAAGATTGAAGTTGGTTGGATGAAAAATACAAAAATTCAGCTGTTTATGGAAAATAAATAGTATAATTCTAATGTAAAAAATTGTTTCTGAATAACATCACACAATGAAGGATTAAACGCATGCAGCACAAAGATGGTGAAATAGGAAATGGGTTAAATTGCAAGTAATTCTGCAAACATAATGCAGTCAACTGGCACACATCTTGAAACAGTCAAATACAATGGTCAATTCCTTAAAAAAATAGGAACACACTATTCTCATGGTAGGACACTTCTGAATATTTTGGATCTCAGTAAATAACCAAATGAGTCCCAATGTCTGCACTAGAGGTAATAAGAAAACTGAGTAGAGTCAGAAAAGATTGAACTTCATTTGCAAAAATGTAGTATTACTTCCATATTTAACAGCTGTGATCTAACTACTAGAATAGAGTTTGGTTTTGTCTGCATTTAAAATAACACTGAAGAATTAGGAACGATTCAAAGAAAAGCTAAAAAATGCATTAAAAACTATTGTGAGATCATAAAAAAAATCTCTTCAAGATTTTGTCACACTTTGCTGGAAGCAGCATCAGCTTCAGCATCAATTTTCAGGGACAAGTAAACTCACTTCATACTGGCAACAGATGCTGGAGGTACATCATACTGTTTCAGAAGTTCATATAGAGAATACAGAGTTGCGGTGGCATCACTTGGAAATTCATTTGTGTCCCACTGCCTGCAATATGTTACGAATTGATCACTTTTTATCACAGGAAATATTTCAATTTTTTAATTCAATAATAACTCTCCTAACTTCAGAGCAGATGGATTTTAGTCCAATATATTAGTGGATTATCTAGACTACAAACTATTACAAAAATAAAATAAAATAAAATAAAATAAAATAAAATAAAATAATAAAATAAAATAAAATAAAATAAAATAAAATAAAATAAAATAAAATAAAATAAAATAAAATAAAATAAAATAAAATAAAATACAACAAAACTCACTTCAGTATACCAAGTAAGGTTCTCGGAGAACCAGATACAAAGCAGAAAGAGCAAAATATTCCAGAATAAGAATATTTGAGGCAGTACATTTTATTTGAAAGGCAAAGAAATATGGAGTGCAAAACTCCTTTCCCTTAATGTCAATATAAATTATTCCACGATGAAAAGAATTAGTACGTTAAAAAGTGGAACTGTTGAGACACTGAAAATCATGTGGAATTCTGTTACAGTCTAATTTTCAAAATTGCTTTCATGTAAAATTTAAAGTTTTAGAAAATACCATGCTTCCCATCCTTGTGATTCATCCATTATATTTCAGATGTGATTCCTCTTCTCTATCTTTACTTTCTTATATATGACTTATGTACCAAGCCCCAATCTGCTAGATACAAAAACGTCTTTCACTCTCTTGTAAATTCTTTCACTTGAGACTGTCAGTACAACACACTATTCTACACATTCCCCAAGAATTCTCTCACCTTTTAGTTTCGGCAGTTTCATGGACAGGACTGAGCTTCACTGCTCAAAACTATTTCCATTAGAGAAACTAATCTTTGTAGTATGGTCTTCTACTGGCATATGAGATATCAGAACCCGACTCTACTTCTGTAATATCTAGTATCAAAATCCAAGTGAAAGGATACAGTTTAGTACTCACGATTTTATCATTTGCATTTTATAAATCACTGACAAATGGATGGAATTTTGTATTTCCTTCTCTATCTGGGAAATATCCATTAGTTTGTGGTATACCTATAAAATAATAATTTCATTATTAATCCACTAAATAAGCCAGTGAAGGACAGACACTCAACAGGGCTAAAATAAATCATGTATGTTGATTGTAGGCTTTAAGGGCAATGGAATTTAATGGACATTAAGGGCAATGAAATTACTATGGTAATCTATGTTGTTTTGCATACATACCACTTAGTAAAGCTGTATTAATTTTCATATGCTGAGAATCATAAGTATTAGCAGAAATCTAAATCTGGAACTATTATCTGAGTTAGATTTCTAATTAATCAATTTTTTAGAACATTCTGATAACACTCATTCTGAAATCATCTCATCCAGATAAGGGAAATTAGACATTCAAATTTAACTGCAACTATAAATTAAATATAACAAAAATATTACAAAGAAATTACAAGGTACTGTAGTTACTTCAATTTATCTGTAGAGTCACATATTAGACAAATAACATCATTTCTTTTGACTCTCTGACACTGACTGTCCACAGCAATCAATAATGATTACTTAAGTTGTAATGGAACACTGCATTTTGTAGGACTTGATTACTCTGTCATTAAAGCATCCAATAGTGTAGGTCATACTTCTGTAGCTCTGCTGATAAACACAGCCCAAGGAAACTTTTAGAACTACTTTATTCTTTTAAGACCAATGTTAAGTAGTTTTGTTCAAAATTGCCTCTAAAAAAAAAATACATGTACAAAAATAATTTGGATCCCTTGCCTAAATGTCATTGCTTCACTGATTTCATACCTCTGAAAGGTCATTAAGGTTCTCTTAATTCAAATGCTAAAGAACATATAACATAAACATAATCTTTTGAAATGCAGTGAAAACGCGTAAGTAAGACAAGTAAGAGTGTAGCAGGGAACATAGAAGGAATGCTTAAGAACATGACTGCATGCAACTCCAAAAGTTTTATTTGCCTATTTCTGCTTTTGTCACATCTATCTTCACCCTCTTATTTCCCAAATGAAGGTCATGCAAAAAAATGTGAACTAATATCATATACTTTAATTCCCAGAACTCTATAGGGTTCACATTGGGTCATTTAGGTATATTTCAGCATAAGAATAGTCAACAAAACCTAAATAGAGCCTAGATTATTTTTTCCCAGTGGCATAAAACAGGTAAAGTTACACCCTTTACACCATCTGTGATAATAGCAGTTATTCCCACACAGATTTTTTAGGGGTAGCAAAAGTTTTCCCTATAATATTATGGTGTACTGAAATAACATGGGGCACTAAGGAGCTGTTTAGCTTGGAGTATGAAAAATACAAACAATAAAAATATCTGCTTATTTGGTGTATCATTTGTTAGTTCACAATATTTAAGTACAGGAAATAAAATACTTAAATAAAACAAGGATGTTAATAAATGTAGAGAAAGCTCCTGTCTTACTGGGAATTTTAAATATTTTACAGCATTACCATTAAAGAAAATATTTGAGAGTATTTATCTGGAGCATTTTCCTTAATAAAGACTGCTGCAGTCGATGAAAACTCTTTTGCTTCTTTCAGTTTTGAAGCATCGAGGAGGCACTCAAGTAAATTTCTGCAGATTAAATAAATATTTATATTAAAACATTTATCAATGTTTTTGAAACAATTCTTATTCATATTTTTTCAAGAGACTCTTTATATTCAAGGTACCACTCTTAAATGCAGTACAATCAATTAATGCTATAAAGCATTGACTCAGCAAAGAGAACTTCTAACTTTTATGCATTTGTTTCTTCCAGAAAATACACAGCTCTTAATATCCATTTATTACAGATCACAAAAATAATCTTGGAACAGGAGATTTTTCTGAACACTCTGCACAACAGGACACCTGGAATTAAAATGATCAATGATTTAACACTTCATGAAGAAAAGAAAAAAAAAGGTGAGCTGCATTCTGTGGTTCTCCATTAACTACTGGAAAGGCTAGTATTTCAAAGTCATCTAGTAAAAGAGAACCCATACATGCTGGAAACTTCAATGTTTTTCAATCCTTCAACTGTTTTCACTGAAAAAGAGCCTGTGGCTTCATAAAATAAATAATAAAAATACCATAGAAATAATAGTAAATGATTCCATAAAAATATAAAAATACAAATATAAGAAAAAATAAAGGTTACCATTAGTTTCATACCACAAATTCATTGTGCACTTGCTAATTCTCATCAATACCTCAGCAAGATTATGTTTGTTATTAAAAAACTGTATTGTATTCTATATAACCTTTAGTGTATAACATGAAATGTTTTGATTTTTTATTTCCCTCCAGTTTCAACTTAGAAAGAAAACACAAAAAAGGCTGTACAGCAATAAACTATCAAGTCCATAGACCAAAGAAATAGAAAAGTTCACAAAGAGAAAGTTAAAAACTGTGGTAGAGATGTATCAAGAACTGGAAATGGTCTGTAGAATAGCAGACCCAAATACCTCTAAAGAAAGGTTGTCTGATCTTGAAAAATTATATAGACGCTCTTTATTTTGCACATAAAACCGGTTCTCTCAGTTATTTGTAAAGGCATCTCAGTGTTTATGATCCAGCTTTACTCAGAGAATCCAAGACAATGATGTAACAATTCATCATTGTTAATTGATATTGTTACATCATTAGTAATAATGGGTAATAATGTGAATTGTTATCAGAGTACCAATAGCGCACAGTTTTTGGAATGTTTGTTGGTTTTTTTTTGTTTGGTTGTTTGTTTGAAACACTTCCATTTATATCTTGTTTAGAGACAAAAAACAACCTGATTCTTTGTTCAGTTCTAGAGCCAAAAAACATCAATGGCAAATTAATTTAATATCAGAATCAGGCATTATATAAATATCAATTTCTAACTTTCTGTTTTCCTTATAGTCTGTAAACTAGAAGACTTAGGCTGACACTCTGCCTGCTTTGCTTCAGTCTTCACCAAAAAAAACTCTCATGCCTCAGTACTCTCAGTTTCTGCTCAACCAACATTATTTTTTTTAATTTATTTTTATGAGGGTTTTGCATATAATTTGCCATTTCTTTTGTTGAAATTGAAACCAAAGACTCAATAGTATGACTAAGCTTCTAATATTGCTTTTCGTTAGTGATCAGAGACTTAATGAATTTCTTAGCCAACATGTGCTGCTCAGTCCATAAATATCTGCTCTTATCTGCAAAAACTTCAAATTATCTAACAGATAGCTCTTGTTCTTAAAATGTGTATCTCAGTAAAATCTGAATTGCAATCAGAATGCAAATCAGATGCTATCAGTTCAGAGAGGCTGAGGGGAGACCACATCGCTCTATGCAACTACCTCAAAGGAGAGTGTCGGTCTTATTTCTCAGATGACAAGTGACAAGACGTGAGGAAACAGCTTCAAGTTGCACCAGGGGAGGTTTAGATTTGGTATTGGGAAGCACCTCTTCATGGAGAGGGTGCTTAGGAATTGAAGTGGACTACCAAGGGAAGTAGTAGATTCCCCATCCCTGGAGGCATTTGAGAGAGATGTGGACATGGCAGTTAGCGACACAGTTCAGTGATGAAACTCAGTACGTTGGGTTGACAGTTGGACTTGATCATGAGGGTCTTTTCCAACCTGAATGATTCCAGGATTCTGTAAGTGTGTGGTATATACACTGTTCCATACACAAAGGGAAGTCAGATTGAGACCACTCACAGCTCAAACAAAAAAAGAAAGAACTTTCCAACAGATAGTGATAATTATTTATAACGTACCTTTCTGTAATTCTGGAAAAAAATATTTGAACGTGATGTATCAAAAAGTAGCAATTTCTTCAGTCTCTTAAAAATAACAGCTATAGCAGAAAGTAACAACATACTATTTAAAAACCCTGTGATTCTATCTGTCTTTTAAAATGACATTTAATCAAATTGTATTTTTCACTGTCTTCTACAAGCCATAAGGACTTTTCAGTCATGCTTAGTAAGACTGTCCTTGAAGTGAAACTACCTTTGATTGTCCTTGAAACTACCATGTACTTCTTCAGCCACAAACTGTCTTCAGTGAAAACCAATTGCTAAAGATTCTGATTAGAGCTAATTATTTAATTCAGTGTAAATTACACTATACTCACATCTTAACACTACAAATGCAGAAAAAGCTAGGTATTTCCTGAATAGGACAGAAATCAGCTAACAAATTTCAGTTATGACATAGGTGTAAACGAGTCAGTAACACATTTTTATCCAACCCTGGATTACTAATCTCCTCCCTAAAAATTATTAGACTTCTAATTTTATTTATTTTTTTTTTTTGCATAAAGCTTAAAGATATTCTCTGAATTCACCCTGTTGGGAGGTTTAGTTCTCAAAAATGCACTAATTACCAGAAAGAAAACCTGCCAGTTTAAAACTTAGCAGCCTTGTTTATGCAAGTTTCTCTTTCACATAACTTTTTGACTTCTGTTTGTCATAAAACTGGTTAAAAAAAGGACCTATTTCATTTATACTTTGAAACATTAGGCCAAGCAGTTTATTCAAATTAGTACGAGTAGCCTTTAATTTAATATTGAAGAAAACTACATATAAAACTAATTAGGAAGAAAAAGGCTTGATCTGAACTAGTTACATTAGTAAGAATCATACAGAACCAGATAGTACTTAAAACATGTGACTAACAACATGAAAAAAAAAACACACAACAACACAAAAACATCACTACTGGTGATGATTCATCTCTGTTTTCTTGATGTTGCACTTCCAATATATTTATTCTGCTCACTGAACTTATTTTTCTCAAAGTTTCATTTCAACGTACAGCTACAGACTACCAAGAGAAAATACAGTAAGAAAGATAACTAAGATAAGGATATATATAAAATCTTCAGAATGAAGAAGTAAATTAGAAGATACACTCTCACAGCCTTACCAGGCTGTTTCTGTCTCATCAGGTATCAGAGGATAGAAGAGGACAGAAGATATTTGATTATCTATTTAAACATTATGTTTCCTTACCTGAAGAAAAAGGTTCTTAAAGAAAACTGGAGTTTGTATTTCTCCTCACTTCAAAGGACTACACATAAGCAATGTGTTGAACACTATATCTGAAATGACTGTGACAGTTCAGATAGGACTTGGGGTCTGACTGCATCTGCTACTAACATTTTAACCTCAAAGTCAATATTAAAAGGAAGAATTATGTGTATATTTATATATTGTTAAAAAGTTATGAATTATGACTCCCCAGAGTGGTGAAGCATTGGAATGGGCTGCCCAGGGAAGTGGTGGAGTTCCCTGCCCCTAGAGGTATTTAAAAGATGTGTGGATGTGGCACTAAGGGACATATTATAGTGATGGAACTCAGTAGGCTGGGCTGACAGTTGGATTGATGATTTCAAAGGTCTTTTCCAACCTAAATGATTCTATAATAAAATAAACATTATTAAAAACTACCTCAGGTGGCAGCCACATGCACAAAAGGACTACAGAATACCCATATGGAAATTAAAATTAAACTTACATCATGAGTTCTGCTCTCCATTCACCGTCTGGCTCATCAGTTTGGTTTAATGCTTTAACAATTTGAGACAGGCTGGGAACAAGGTAACAGCGGAATCCAGGCTTAAGATAGGGTCTCACAAATTGCCAATAAAGAACTGAGGCATTATATATCAAAAAATAGTATCTAAAAAAAAAAAAGAGAGAGAAGAATCAAGAATGGAGGATGTACTTAGATTAACTTGAAACTACAGAGTAAGAATTTTAAGACACTCCTAGGAAATAAAAATTTGAACTTTTCCTACTGAAGTTCCTGAATTAACCTTGACTCAGAACTTTGAGCACACCTACAGCATAGGAAGAGTAAGGTAACTCTTAAGACTACACTTTACCCAGTAATTAACTACTTAAAATAAGCTAAAATGCTGCTCTCCTCCTCCAGAGGATAAATATAAAAGAGGAAGAAAAGCCCTGAGATACCTACCAGGTCTAAACAGTCTGTTTCATCCTGTTTATTTAATACTATTTACAGTATTCTATACTGTCACAGCATGCACAGTAGTTAAAGAAATAAAGTAAGAAAACGGAAGGGAAATCCATCAAGAAAAAAAAAAAAAGACTATCTAGTGGAAAACTGAGACAAACACCTATGAAAACCTAATTCACTAACATCTCCTGAGATTTAAAGAGTAAATACTATCAGGAGGTCCTACCTTTGATCATGTGTTGCAAAATCTATTGCTTTCATAAAAAACAGCACAAATTTTTCAAATGCTTCCTAAAATAGAGCAAACATGATTTAGGAAATGTGTACATAGCCTTTATAAATTACCAATACATTATTTTCATATTTCAATATGTTCATGTCTCATCATGTTTATTTTCAGACCATTCCCAAATAAAACATGTTGTCATAATAACGTGTTGCCATACACCAGAACAACTGAAAAACAGTAGCATTGCCTGTTACCATGCTTGCCAGATTTCAAAATTTCAGACAATTTTTTCTTTAATTTCTGCCAAAGTTTAATCATTAGGACTGAAATTGTCCAAAGCTGTAAAGTTGGGTCCTTTTAAATTTTTCAGCAAAGAAAGCTCAGAAATTTCCAAGATGAAAGCTAGGAAAAAAATATTGGTTTGTTACATTAAAAAAATGTAGGTATCATTTTCTTCGGAAAAGTTCCAACACGCCATACTCGTAATCATTTGTCAACTGAATGCTGTCAGGCATGTTCTTTTAATCGTCAATGCTGCTGAAAAGCAGCTTTTCAGGAAAACAAACAAACAGAAACACAAAAATCAGGGGGCCTGGTGGATACCAGCTTGAACATAAGCCAGTAACTTATGTATGTGAATTTGCAGCAAAGGAGGTGAGCATTATCCTGGACTGCATAAGGACAAGTGTCACCAGCAGACTGAGGGAGGTGACCCTTCCCCTCTGTTTTGCAGTGGTGAGACCACACCTGGAGAGCTGGGTCCAGCTGTGGGCTTCCACAGGACAAGAGAGACATGGACATACTGGAAAGAGTCCAGGGAAGCACCACAAATAGGGTCAATAAAGGTCTAGAGCATCTCACCTATAAGGAAAGACTAAGAGAGCTGGGACTGCTAAGCGTGGAGAAAAGAAGTCTCAGAGGATCTTATCAGTGCATACAAATTACTGAAGGGAGGGTGCAAAAAAGATGGATCCAGGCTTTTTCAGTAGTGTCCAGCAACAGGACAGGAGGCAATGGGCACAAACTGAAATACAGGAGGTTTCCTCCGAACGCAAGACAACACTTTTCTATTGTGAGTGTGACTGAGCACTAGCAGAGGTTGCCCAGAAGCTGTAGAGTCACGATCTCTGTGAGATATTCAAAAGTTGTCTGGACTTGGTCCTGGAAAACCACCTCTGGGTGGCCCTGCTTGGAGTAGATGACCTCCACAGGTCCCCTCCAGCCTTTACCATTCCATACTTTCTTTGAAACAGCAGTCAAATCCAGTAAGCTGCAAATCCATTTTCAATTTATATATGTGTTCAATTATGTTTTACATTTTATGTATAACATTCCTCTAAGCTTCCACATAGAGTGAGCTTGCTTCCACATGGACTGAGCAAGACTTTCCCAAGAACTGCAAAAAGCTATGCTGAACAGCTTTCTACCGACCTAAGAGGTCCTCTCAGTGGTCTTTATCTTGTAGCCATTCAGCACCAAAGTGATCAGGCTAGGACAGGGAAAAAGCGAAGAAAGTAAAGATAAGGAACCTAAAGAGCTGGATAACAGGATGGGATACTTGTAAAATGAAATGTATATTGAGAGCACAAATGATGACAGAAAGGAATACAGGGTTTAGAGAAGACTAGAACTAACTGAAGAGACTGTGGCTGAGAAACAGATAGGAGAAAAAGCATATAATGAAAAGCAAAGGTACAAGAGGAATAGAAATATGGTGAAGAATAATAAAATTGGGAGAAACTAGAATTTGGTCACATAAGGAAGGGATTTTTGAAAATCTGTGAGAAAGACACAGTGGAAGCAGAAAAGCAGGAGTGGAACTGGGTGGGCAAGAAGGGGATGCTGGCAAAGGGCTCTGTATAGTGTGACAAAACATAATAAAACTCTAGGAGAGATGAGACTGATTTACTGGATTCTGGGATTGGTGTTAAAAGGTTACTGAGCAATGAGTGGGAACTGCCCAGATAAAGGGAAAAACAGGATCAAGAGCCTGAGAGGTGACAGATGTGAAAGTAGAATAGTCACAACTGGTGCATAAGAATGTAAGAGTCCTAGTTGACTAACAAGGTTTTCCCAGGATGTAAACCAAAAGTAAGGACAATTTTATCTGGTTTCTAAACGAAAGATGATTACTAGTGGTAGACCATGTGTAGTTGTGCCGCTCACTGTTGCATAAATGACCTAGGAACACAGCAGTGAACAATCCTCACAACTTACAAAAAGTGTACCTTAAAAGCACATAAGAACACATGTCACAAGGGAGCCACAGCTGGGATTGCACATGCATGAATGGTTCTGAACTTCTATCAAATTGACAAGAGCAAAGAAGAAAACAGCAAAATTTGGCTGACATTTATAGAACATCACAGACCAGTTTGATTAATTTAGAAAGATAACACATGCTCTGAGAAGGCAAAGAAAGCATGGATACCATGTTAGGGAAAAGTTTCTAGCTTGAAGGGTAATTCAAAAACATTATTAAAATAAACTATGGGACGACTATCCATCAGAGAGATTTGTGAACACAAATTACACAAATGCTTAACACCTGCTAAAGCTATTTCAGTTCAGAGCTTAGGTTAGAAATTGTCAAAGCTAAGTGATGACAGTATGAGGAATAGTGAAATACTCAAGACAGAAAATAGGTCCAACTCCATCTGAAATTCAGAAGGAGGTAAGACCTGCTCATCACGTACAGAGTATAACCAAATACTAACACAAAGGAGCTTTTAGAAGCAGAAGTATACTACTGAGTTGCTACCAGAAAGTTTCATCTCTCATTTCAAAAAGCCACATCCAAAGCACTACATTGAAAGGCAACTGAAGAGAGGAATGAACTGGACGACCTCTCTGAGGTACCTTTAGTGTATTTTTGAATGAAACATTTTGCAACTGTTTTTCTGCTTACAACTAAATTTGGTCTGAAAATATCATAATGATTTAATAGTGAAAAAGTTAAATTTGAAATTATTGACCTTCTGAAAAACCTTCCAAGTGTTCATGTTTTTTCCCGAACATATTTGATATATTAGTTCAATTCAGCGGATAGCTTTGTTTACTCCCAAACACGTTAATGTACTTCTATTCGATTTTTCCCAGAGTTCTGATGACTGACCTTTGTATGTTTTAAATGACTGAAAGTTTTGCATTAAAAGCAATACATAAAAACCTAGAATGAATACTCTTAAGATGTAACTTAATATAATACAACCTTCATCATTTCTCACCAAATTATCTGTAGAGAGTGGAGTGTGCAACTGTCCTTGGCACAAATATGCTCTACCAATAAACTGGTTTACAGGAAATCTTCCTTTAAAATACATCTGTAGACAGTCACTGCTAATTTGCAGGTATCCCAGCTAAGAGAAAAAAAAAAGCATTTTATTTTTTTTTAAATGAATGCTTATTCTAACTGTGTAGCACATAACAGCATTATCATTATGAAAACAATATATCATAAAATTGCATTCCACTAGGCCATTAAGTTTTCTTAAAATTTAAAGGTAGAAATTTTGTCATTCCAAACACTTAAAAAATGTTTCCTTTATTTAATACAGCTCCTGAATCACTTAGTTATAGAACCCCTTACAGTATACAAAAAAGTATAATTTTTTAGCAGCCATTAATAGAATTAAGATAAATGCAAAGTTTCTTGTACGATTAAAAAAAAAAAAAAGTATGTATATTAGCCTGCAGGATTTTGCATGGATGTCAGCACTGCACCTCTATTTGCAGACAACAGAAAACACTTGGGTGGCTTGCTGCTTGGAAAAAAATAAGTTACTTTATTAGAAACTATGTCTGCTTCAATTCCAATCACTTATACCCATGGATTGAGAATTATAAAATACTTCAAAATTAAGAACCTCTACCATATGTTATGGAAGTCAGCTCCAAAAGCGACAGTTTTTCATAATTAGAATGCAATTCTTCTTTTGGTCCACTAGGGACGCTTCATAAACAGTTTATATTGTTGACAACAAGGGAAAAAAAAAAAGACATGGAAAACTATTTCATATTACAATGGTATGCTTTATATATTTTGGACTAATTATAAACTTTATAAACCACAGGTTACAGATTATAAAAAAGTGATGATTCAGGGAAGAGGCTGAGTTTTTAACAAGGAATGCATGCTAAAACAATTGCTCTGCAAAAAAAAGGAAAGGAAAGTAATATTTAAGTAATAACTTTAACACAGGTAAACTAACTAAATTACAAACCTGAAATGCCTGTTCAGCACACAGAACGTATAAGTCTGTGCTGAAGTTATCTGATGAGTCAAGTGCAGATCTTCCTTGACAGGCTGATTTGATCAACTCATAAGCATCCTTCAAAGCCTGAACATCTAAAGTAATAGATAATTTATGATTCAAGATGGACCAATAGACATGTAATTGCATTATTCAGATCAACTGTGTAACACCATCTTCCTCCTTTAAAGAAAGAAATTACCACAGAATCAAAAATGGATGGGTTGGTGGGGACCCTACAGCCCACCCGGGTCCCCCCATGCCATGGGCAGGACCCCTGCCCCCAGCGCAGGCTGCCCAAAGCCCCCCAGCCCGGCCTTGGGCACTACCAGGGGAGGGGCACCCACGGCTCCTCTGGGCAACTGCCCAGAGGTTTTAATTAGGAATTGCCCCAAAATTATGAATTTTTAGGGAAAAAAAGGTCAAGCAGATGTTGTTCAAAGTCAGCAGCAGTTGTAAAATGAAGCATTAACAACTCTGGTGCAGTTTAAAATCACTGATGTAAGCAAACAATAAAGTAAATCACTTTGAAGGTCTCAATTGCAACCCGCAGGCCCCAAGAATACGTCCTGCTGAAAAAGCAACTTGGCTTTGGGTCCGTAAGGCTGCTTGATGAAGTAAGTTTGACTGGCAGAAAATCAGGCTAAGAAGCACAATTAAAGCGTTTGGGAAAAAAAAAAAAAAGGCCGTACGATTTTTTCGGGACAGGCGCACATCCCGCGGTGCCCGCGGTGCGGGGCCGCAGCCTGACACCCCCTCACCTCGGCGGCTCTGCGCGGCCAGGAGCCTCTCGCGGACGGCCACGTCCATGTCGCCCCCCCCGCCGCTCTGCCAAGCTCGCCGGAGCCGTTTGCCGACGCGTTCTTCCGAGAGCTTTGCCGCACACCCGGCAGAGCAGCCGGGGCACGTCCTCCGTCCGGCGGCCCGCCCGACAGCCCCCGGCGGCCCCGCCGCGCTGCCTCCCTGTGCTCGGCCGCCGTTGCCCGCGCGCGTCCCAGCAACGCTCCCGCCGCGCGCGTCCTAGCAACTAGGTCCTGTCCCCGCCCCGCGGGCGGTGCCGTTCCTCGGACAGAGCCCGCCGCGGCTGGTCGGCAGCGCTATTGCTGCGGCGTGCGCCGTGGCAGAAATCCCGCACACTCCGTGAAAGCAAATGCTCTCGAGCTGTTAATGCGTGCTTACCGCCGCGCACACGCTGTACGAAATCACCGCACAAGCGGCCTCAGGTTAACAAGGGCACCGACCGATAGCTTCCTGTAGGTAGAACTACTGCTGAGAAGCACTACCAGCAGTAATTTTGGCTGCTGTTTATAGAGCTTCCAACGTGAAACCTTTTTAAATAGGCCACCAGTGCCTGCAGCTTCGGGCTGGAGCAGAATGAAGTGCCGAGCGATGTTTGGGTCATATCAGCCCACACAGAAGGAAGCTGCAGGCTACAAACAGTGATCTTCCAAAACTCGAGGCTTTTGCATCTTTTTAGTCATTTCACAGTATATCGGCCAAGAACAATTTTATGATAAAAAAATAACCTTCAGAGAACAACATTGCAGAAAAGATACAGTCAAAACAACACAAAACAAACCAAAAAAAGCACAGAAACAAAATAAATCTGTAACAAAATAAATCTGTAAAAATAAATCTGGACACGCTGCCATTTGACAGACCAAATGAAGCACTGAAGCTGTCGTGCTCTCTCTCCCTCCAGCTGCTGAGATGTGGAACGCTGTTTTGCATAACACCGTTGGCATGAAGACTATCTATGGACTTAAACGTGTAAATCCAACATTTAAACGTAAACCCTTTGCACTTTAAGCTAAATTGAAATTCTGCACTGGTAGGATGTTGCAGCCCTGCGAAGACTGAACGCATCGTGCAGAAGGACAGCATTGCTATTAAGTTTCCGAAGACACTTCTTGCAGTCATCTATATCTGAATTATGAGAGGCCAGTAGGGTGAAAGCCGATAAAAACGGTAAGTGCATCAAACTCTTATGCTTCAGGTCCAGCTACTGAGTAAGTGACACATACGGTACATTTCAAGATAGCAGACCTTTCCATTTGTGAAGTGCTGCTTCATATGAAACATTACAAATGTATTCAAGAACCTGGAAAGAATTCAGCTTTAGACACCTTCCTATTCTCTAGCTGTTCTCCAGCCTACTCCTGACCACACAGCCCATCAAAAAGAACAAACTGCCTTGCTTGCATGAACGTTAGTAAACAAGAACAAAACTCGTGAGACGAACAAAACCTCTGTGCCCTTGTGCATTACAAAATCCTTCAAACTCACTGCTGCTGATCCCTACACACCTGCGTGCAGTGTAGCCCTCCTCTTTTGGATTGTGGCACATGGCAGGTCACAGCAAGCCTAAGTACCCTAAGTACCTAACGTAACTACACAGACCAATACATGGTCTCATAGAATCACGAGACAGCTTTGGGAGGGAGAGGAAAGAAAACTCTGTAGCAATTTTGTGGCAATTTCTGAAACAGAAATGCATGCCTACGTAGATATTTGCCCTATGCCGTGGCGAATTCTCATCCCAGTGAAATTGACAGCAACATTAATATCCTCCGCTTGTTTTGAATTGTTTTTCCATTGTCAACCCTAACGTAACGAGAAAAAAAAAAAAAGAGGACGTGCTTCTGGGGCCACGCCCGTCCCGGCCGAGAGAGGAAACCGGCTGCCTGCAGGCACAGCTCCGCTTCCTCGGGGCCGCCCCGCCTCCCGCCGCGGAGCCAGGCGGCGCCGCCGCGCTTCGCGCCCCTTGCGGCGGCCCCTCCCCGCTTCCCATCGCGCCCGCAGGCGGCCCCGCGCTCTCCCGCCGGGAGCCGCGGCGCTCAGCAAGCGCTCGGCGCACGCGCGGCAGCGCGCGCCCAGCTCCTGCCCCGCGGCGGAAGCCGCGTTTCCCGGCGACGCGGGGACGCCATGCGCGGCGCCCGCGGGGTGCTGCTGGCCCTGCTGCTGGCGCGGCTGGCTGCCGCCGCCGAGCTGCCCGCCGGGGCCGCGCGCGGAGCGGCTCCCCGAGCCGAGGCGACGGCTCCGCGCAGAGGCCCCGCCGACCGCGTGGCCTGGGGCGGCGCCCGGATCCCCGCCCCGCCGCCCCGCCGCCGCCGGGCCCCGCGGGCACCCCCGCGGCCCCGGCCCCGCTCCGCCGCCGCCAGCTCGCCCGAAACTTGCGGCCTGCGCCGCCCCGGGGCAGTCGACGCGTCCCGCCGTACCGGCGGCAGCAGGTGGGCGGGCCGGCCTCCCATCGCTGCCGTGCCGTGCCGTGCCGTGCCGTGCCGTGCCGTGCCGGAAGCCGTGCCGGCGGAAGCCGTCCCGGGGCTACCAGGCGCGGACAGGGGCGGGCGGCGGGGCCCCGGCTCGGGCTGACTGCAGGAGCTGCGGCGCGGCCGCCAGTCCCGCCGCCCTGCTTGCCCGCACCGGGGGAACGGCTCGGTTCTGAGCCGGGGCTCGGAAAGGCTGCCGATGGCAGGTGTTCTAGCGGCCCGGGTAAAGCTGGTCTCGACTGCTCTGTGACATGGCTTGTGGTGTGGAAACTAGGGAGTCTTACCTGAGGAAAAAAGAACTCGTTTCCTACCGGGAGGGAGCCTGCAGAGCAATTACAGACCGAGAGATTCTGTCAGAGAGGAGGGTATTTTCAGCTGGTTGGAGAGTGAAATCTGTGGCAGAGCCCTGAATTTCCAGGTTGTGGTTTTGGAAAGAACCCAGAGGAGCTGTAAGACACAGACGCTGAATTTCTTTACCGCTTCTTGTTCCAAGGAATCTCAGAACGATTTCTAAATAAACAAATAGCGAGTATCCACAGAGTTACTACAGTGGGAAAGGAGGCTGTCTATAATTGATTATGAACACAAACTGTACAGTAACTTACTTAAGCAGATGAAAAGTAATACTGTGTTTTATTGTTGGCATTTAGTAATGCAAGAAGTGAAATTCTACAGGAAAAGTCTATTTAACATTCTTTTGGGGGTGTGTCTGTTTGCAGGTCTGTGAATCAAGTGTGTGTGGAAAAATCGCTTGTGTTCAGAACTAATACTCCTTATCATACTGATACCATTTCTGTCCCTGGTGAACATGATCTGCTGTTCTGTGTGCAGCTGGATGACTGTAAGTAACTTTTCTTTCCATTAACTTAATTCATAGATAGCCTTTGCTTAGGGAATCTCTTTTTAAACTTACATGCTATAATTGCTAGAAATTATTTCGTTTGTTATAGTCTCTGAGAGACCATAGGGAATCACCATCCCATCACTGAAGACAAAAAATTATCATTGCCCTCATTTTGAGGGTAGTGCTCCCTTGGCTAAACACGAATCACTCTTTAGCAATTGTTTCTGTATCTAAGACACCTTAATTTGCTACACGTAGAGCAGTAAAGAAAGTTTGACATCTGTCATATTTTTCCTATTAGGAAAGGAAGGATTCCTTTTATCTTCCTATTATCCTTTTCAGAAAGCGGTTTATTATCTTATCTTGGATTACTCATTTGATATACTTATTTTCATACTTCCTTCTTTGCTGTCACTGATTTGCAGTGATCACATACCCTAGTAGGGCATGTCAATAATGTTTTTTCTCCTTCTGCTTTCCTCAATGCATTTTGTTTGTCTGATTTGGTGTCCAGCTCACTGGTATTCATTGAGATTGCTTAGGAGCTCATGTTTGAACACATACTAGTTTATCTTTTGACACTCGTGTCTGGGAGTTTTGATCAACAGTCCCATCTACTTCGGCCTTGTGTCATAAAATCAGAGAACATTCTAGGCTGGGAGAGGCTTAGGAGGTTACCTGGTCCAGGTACTAGTCAAAGAAGGGTCCTGTAATTTAGTCCACCTTTCAAATCCTTGCAGATGTTACCTGAATGTTTGTATGTGTTAAAAAGTGTGTTCAAACAAATCCATCAGGATGAATCTCTTTAGTATGTCCTTAATCGTTTGACTGAATTATATGACATAGTGCCTTAGCAGTAATAATTTAAAACATTGTAATACTGTAACACTACTGAATGGTGCTGGGACAAGAAGACATCACTGTGAGATACCAGTAGAATTTTGTCTTTTTAGGATGTCTATTCACAATTCATACTTACTTTAAAGTTTATCAGCCTTAATTACTTTTTAATCCATTTAATGTTGCTTTTACTAAATGTATACTGCTGGTGTTTTGTCATTAAAACATCATTAAAACATCGTATGGGTCCAACTTGGGCATCTTACAAAAATGAGAGCACATGTTAAACTAGTTGCCTTAAGCAGTTTTCACAATTTCAGAAAATCACATATGTGTATCAACACGTTTCTCAAGAAACAGTACAAAGTAGTTCCCATGATATCATCCTCCTGTTCATAGCTCGTATTAGTCCGTTAGCAATCTTACTAAGGATTAATTACTGTAAGGCACTATCTAGCTTATAATTACTGAAGTTGTCCCTCTTAAAAATATTAGCACAATGTTTACTTTTTCATAGAACTATCTTTTTTAGTAATTTTACGTTGGTAGATTTTTTTTTTTTCACCTTTTAGCAAAGCTGAACTATTTCCAGCAGCCACAGCCTATCAAAGAATCTGATTTTCTGGAGTTCTCAGAGAAGTACGGCAGACTCTCTTTCTTAGCAGTATCACAAGTCCAGCCATCGTTTTCTGCCTTTTACCGGGTGAGTTGAAAAAAAGATAGCAACCAGTTTGCAGATATGCCTTTGTTATTGATGTCTGTAATGAGACCTAACGAGAACAGAATTAAATATTCCTCATGTATTTTTCCCCTATAAACCACGGTATTATCAGTTCTTTTCATTCCTTGTTGTGTAAAAGTTTCTAATTAGTTTTCTTGTATGTAGTTTGGACATTTTAGATAAAACTGGCTGTGCAGTAAGGAGAAGTTTCAGTTTGTCTCTCTGCCCTGAGGATGTCGTTACCTTGCACTTGGACTTACTATTCCACAGTGATGTTGTTTTTAGTTTCTCCGAATTGTCTTTTCAGGCTGGTGATCCAATCCTAATCTATTTTGATTCATCATCTACACTGAGTATGCTTAGACAACCAGTGAAAATGGGAGTCAGTGGACTCTGTGTTGATGGAAATCCTGCTGGTTAGTAAAGGGGAAAGCGTTTCTAAGGGCTGTGTGCTTCTGTTGTGTCTTAGCTGACAATGTCTCTTAACTCAGGCTTCCTGGAAAGTAAAAGCACAAGCTGTACTCGGATTTTCACCAACTTGAGCAAGAGCTGCATTACTGACCCTGCCCTAGATGCTGCCTCATACTACCGTGACTTCACAGTGCTAAAGGTGCATGTCGTATTTCTTCTTTTGCTAAGCATCTTTCCATTGCCTTCCATTGATACTTCAGATACCAAATCACTCTGTTTTCAAGTTATGTAGTACCCCTTGATCTTCTGATTATTATACCCCTCTTGCTAGAAATCCTGTTAAAAATGTCCCAGTAATCAGTAATAATCCATCACTTTTCTTTTTTTTCTTTTACACCCAAGTACTTTTCAATAAACTTCAGTTATTATCAAGTTATTAATGCATAGAACAGGTACTTCATCAATATTTCATAATTTGAACAGTTTAACCACAACTCTCTTACATTTTAAACAGACTGTTTATGAAAGTATTTTGATCTCTTCCGTCAACTTGATCAACCAAGCAAAGCATATTCTTAGGAAAAAGTAAGGTGTTTTTTTTTTTTTTGATACAACATGTTCTCTCTAAAATCACTTTGGAAGCCAGTTATATTATCTTTATTTTGCACAATCACAAAATGGTTAAGGTAGGAAGGGACTCCTGGAGGTCATCTAGTCTAACCAACCCCCACTCAAGCAGGGACACCAAGAGCAGGTTACCCAGGACCACATCCAAGCAGCTTTTGAGTCTCCTTCCTAAGGAGGAAGCGTTTAGATGTGTTCCAGTTTGTGCCCATTGCCTCTTCTCCTGGCACCGGGCACCACTGATAGGTGCATGTCTCTGTCCCCTTTGCAACCTACCCTCTGGGTATTTATATACACTGATGAGATTTCCCCCAAGCTTCCTCTTCTCCAGACTGGACAGTCCCAGCTCTCCCAGCCCCTCCTCATAGGAAAGGCGCTCCAGTCCTTTGATAATCTCGATGCCCTTCCACTGGGCTCTTTCCAGCATATCTGGTCTCTTGTGTTCCGGGGGGCCCAGAACTGGACCCAGCCCTTCCGTTGTGGCCTCACCAATGCTGAGTAGAGGGGAACGGATCACTTCTCTTGACCTGCTGGCAAGACTTTGCTTAATGCAGCTGAGAATACCGTTAGCCTTCTTAGCCAAGGGTGCATTTGCTGATTCATGTTTGACTTGGTGGCCATGAGGACTGCTAGATCTCTTTCTGCAGAGCTGCTTTCGTACATTCATAGATTGAATTTCATATCAATTTTCCCATTATTTATGCTGAGAATAATGTCAAAATAACCAGCTTCTTATTCTGGGTTCATCATGCTGGTCTTGCTGAATGTTAGCATAAGAACGTCTCACCACTTTCTCTGGTATTCCAAGATAAAAGAGCAATATAAATATTAACACCTTATTAAGACTAATGTCCCAGTTTACCCTTCAGTTGGAAATACTCTTCTAAATCTATATAATTGTAGTAGAGAGTATTGCAT